TAATAAATAATTTTATAAATGATAGAAATTAGCAGATTTGAAGAAATTATATAAAATAATAATATAATTCTAGCATCAATGTGTACTTCATATAAAAGTGGTTATTTTACTAATTACAATTTATTAGAATGAATAGGTGTGGGTATTTAAGTTTCAGTCGCTATTTGAATTTAAAATAAAACGAATTCTTCTCTCTCCATAAACCGACTGAAACATATCGCTCTATTCACAAAGCGCCGACTTGGACCATATACAGGGTTATTCAATAAAGGGCCAATTGTCAGGAATTCTGAGTTAATTTTAAAATGTTACATTTTTAAAAATAGAAGTTTGAGCGAACGTTTGAAATCTACTCAAAATTCCCGAGAATTGTCACTTTGGCGAATAACAATAGCTGGCTCTGGATATTGTCTATCAGATTGATATTTTGGCCTGATTATTGGCAATGCCACAGTAATTAATTCAGAAATAAACCCATAAAACAGACAATTGACAATTAGCAAGGGATTGTAACAGGGGATGCAATGTTTATTATCTAAATAGGTAGAAAGAATATTAACTTTATATACTTTAAAAAAAACAAAACCTATTTTTATATATATATATTTTTTTACATGAAATATTAGCATATGAACCTATGAATGCTGTATACCTCAAACAATAAACGTGGATGTGTCTATATATAAATACAGCAACATTGAAATATAAAGTTATATTACTATACAATACACACTTACAAGCTTATACATAGATACTTGTATTTGTCTAACAGAAAGCGATTTAATTAAGCTGCTATTCTCTATATGACTATAGTAAGTGGAATTAACGTGTCTCTATATGTACCTAGGAGGTGTAGGTGCCATAACCTTATTAAACTATTACGACCAATAATTCTATCAGTGTGGTGCATCAATCAGCCAATCACTGGCATGGTGCATTAATTAGTAGCTCTAGAATGCCTTTTATTATTCAGTTCTATTTTGTGATCACCACTAAACACTATCACACCACCATACTAACTATGGGCTAATTAGCAGTGATTGCAGGCACTGAACACAGATTTAGGGATATTCTTTGGACACAATACACAGGTTTTTGTTGTGTCCCCCCCCCCAGCTGAATGATTCAGTTAAACACAAAAAGAATAAAACACTTGTAAAAATAAATAAATAAAATAATTTAAAACAAATTATATATATATATATATATATATATATATATATATCACACACACACAATTATCCTACACATACACGTTTTACATTTCTTTCTATTTATTTTTGTAAGATCCCTTTTTCCTTGTATTGAGATCCATGTCTGGCAGTGAGCTCTATGAGAATGAATTAGCTGCTGGACTGCTGGAAATACTCAGACAATCTGCAGGACTTGTGTCCAGATATAAACTTATTGGAGAGAGCAGAAACTCACACACACTTACACTGAGGTTTATATATTCTCAGAGTGACACACTTGAGAATCATTTACTATACTCTTAATACGTCAAAACCACAGGCAGACTAAGTATCACACAGGGAATACAATGCAATATAATCTCATGTACACCCCCAACCACTTCAGCTAACCTGCTCAGTACAGGACTAGAAAAACTACATTACCCACAATGCTCAAAAAGACTAAAAATGGCCAATAATGCTGATCTAATAATCCACCCACCTTTCCCCACTCTCCTGTCCCTTTAAAATGATTCAATTATTATGTTTTATTTACTAAATAATATTTTTGCTATATTGTATACTTTGTAGCATTGTGTTACTGTCTCCTGTACAGGGTGTGATACAGTTTCAGTAAGAAACCAGTTATAATTAACACACTGCCAACTGTATTTTATTTTATACTCAAAAATATTACATCAAGCATTTAAAAATATTTGGGGGAAAAAATTAATAATATGAAATAAAACGAGAGATTGTATATAACATATTTAATTACTCTTTTAGTAGTAAATAAACACAAATGAAAGACAATATATTACTATGAAAGTTTGGCTGCATTAAACAAAATCGACAAATGTTATGTTACAAATCACACACAATGGTTAATGAATAAACTTCATGTAATGAGATAATCTCGTGTATTCCGCGGGTTTGAATGTAAATGGAATGATGTATATTATAATGTAAGATCGAATAACTCGATTTATGTAGATAACACATTTTAGATTTCATTTGACAATATCCTGGTGTATTTCGATTTGATAAATGTTGCTAATGTATCTAATCTACATATATTGGCGTAACTCGATATAATGAATATCGGTGATACATATTAGTACATATCGAATTATTCCATCTATTGGTGTAATTCGATAGAATAAATATTGGTGTAATTCTAGAATCTTGAAATGTTGCACCGAATCAATACAAAATTGGAGCACAGAGCTGAAACTGTTGCAGTCACCATGGAAACCAAAATATGTTTCTGCACTTTGCTCCAAATTCAGCCCAAGAATAGACTGAGGAGGAAATAAGACATGGATAGGGAGGAGATTAACTCCTAATCTTATTAATAGTGCTAAAGGCCCAGAAACATTAGCCAGGTAGAGAGTGGCCTATTCACCATCTTCTAGATCTGCAATTAACACTTTCAGTGCCAGGCTAAAAGAAACAGTCATGACTAATCCAATGACGCTCATCCAGCCAAGGCTGAGCACACATCATGAGAATTACTGAGTTCCTAAACCATAATCACTGCCCTGAGGGGGAGGGAGGCTGGAGTGGGGCTTTGAAGGCTGCTGTAGGTATGAGGGAGGCTGTGGAGACATGGATGGAGGCTGCTGTAGGTATGAGTGAGGCTGTGGAGACAGGCATGGTGGCTGCTGTAGGTATGAGTGAGGCTGTGGAGACAGACATGGAGGCTGCTGTAGGTATGAGTGAGGCTGTGGAGACAGACATGGAGGCTGGTGTGAGGCATTGAAGGCTGCGGAGACATGGATGGAGGCTGCTGTAGGTATGAGTGAGGCTGTGGAGAGAGGCATGGAGGCTGCTGTAGGTATGAGTGAGGCTGTGGAGACAGGCATGGAGGCTGCTGTAGGTATGAGTGAGGCTGTGGAGACAGGGATGGAGGCTGCTGTAGGTATGAGTGAGGCTGTGGAGAAAGGGCTGGAGGCTGCTGTAGGTATGAGTGAGGCTGTGGAGAAAGGGATGGAGGCTGCTGTAGGTATGAGTAAGGCTGTAGAGACAGGGATGGAGGCTGGTGTGAGGCATTGAAGGCTGTGGAGACAGGAATGGAGGTTGGTGTGGGCCATTGAAGGCTGTGGAGACAGGGATGGAGGTTGGTGTGGGCCATTGAAGGCTGTGGAGACAGGGATGGAGGCTGGTGTGAGGCATTGATGGCTGTGGAGACAGGAATTAAGGCTGGAGGGGCCTTATCTCCACTGACTGAGTGTAGCAGCTCCAGAATACCAGTAACATAACTTATCTCAATGTAATGTCACAACTTCAGAGACACTTTCACAAACAAATGTCACATGTGTTTACCTGTCAATCCTCCCAGGGGGAGCAGGGATGGGGTGAATGGAAAGACTTGTTCTGAGTGATGGATTGAACTCCCAGCTTAGCTGGATGGAGTCTCTCAGATCAGTTTAGACACACCAAAAATAGAATTATTTATAGAGCACCAGCATATTCTGTAGCGCTGTACAATAGGTATATAAAACAAACAAACAAACAAACAAAAAAGACAGACAGTTAAACAGTTCTACCCCCCACCTCCCTCCAAACAAAAATATACATGTCTGACATGTGGGGATAATAGCTGAAGAGGAACACTCTCCAAAATTTAAATATCACAAACACAAAACTTAGACTGAACTCAATAAATACATGTAATTATTATTTATAATTATTTATAATTATTATTTATAAGCCACAATGAACCCCAAACAGGAAAACAAAAGATATCAATGAATTCTGCTTGGAGAGGCGTTATAAATCAATCCATATATCTCAACATGAAGGGATTCACTATCTGCAAAGGGCTCCATCAGATCATTGAATAATGACATGCTCTAATGATAAATGTGCTCACAATCACCACTACTAACAATAAAAAGAAAATATTGTGTCATTTATAACCATAGCAAGTACTGTCCATGATATATAGAGGCATAGAGAATGATTTGATTTTACATAATGAGGGCTATAAGGATTATGTTATAATACCACAGCCAGAGCAGGCTTTATCCTCAATTGCTGTGAGATATAGAATCCCAGGATATTTATTATATATAGTCAGTCAGTATGTATCGGACCTGGCAGTAACATGGTCACTAACTGTATATACATTCTATGTGTGAGATATAGAATCCCAGGATATTTATTATATATAGTCAGTCAGTATGTATCGGACCTGGCAGTAACATGGTCACTGACTGTATATACATTCTATGTGTGAGATATAGAATCCCAGGATATTTATTATATATAGTCAGTCAGTATGTATCGGACCTGGCAGTAACATGGTCACTAACTGTATATACATTCTATGTGTGAGATATAGAATCCCAGGATATTTATTATATATAGTCAGTCAGTATGTATCGGACCTGGAAGTAACATGGTCACTAACTGTATATACATTCTATGTGTGAGATATAGAATCCCAGGATATTTATTATATATAGTCAGTCAGTATGTATCGGACCTGGCAGTAACATGGTCACTAACTGTATACATTCTATGTGTGAGATATAGAATCCCAGGATATTTATTATATATAGTCAGTCAGTATGTATCGGGCCTGGCAGTAACATGGTCACTAACTGTATATACATTCTATGTGTGAGATATAGAATCCCAGGATATTTATTATATATATAGTCAGTCAGTATGTATCGGACCTGGCAGTAACATGGTCACTGACTGTATATACATTCTATGTGTGAGATATAGAATCCCAGGATATTTATTATATATAGTCAGTCAGTATGTATCGGTTCTGGCAGTAACATGGTCACTAACTGTATATACATTCTATGTGTGAGATATAGAATCCCAGGATATTTATTATATATAGTCAGTCAGTATGTATCGGACCTGGCAGTAACATGGTCACTAACTGTATATACATTCTATGTGTGAGATATAGAATCCCAGGATATTTATTATATATAGTCAGTCAGTATGTATCGGACCTGGCAGTAACATGGTCACTGACTGTATATACATTCTATGTGTGAGATATAGAATCCCAGGATATTTATTATATATAGTCAGTCAGTATGTATCGGACCTGGCAGTAACATGGTCACTAATTGTATACATTCTATGTGTGAGATATAGAATCCCAGGATATTTATTATATATAGTCAGTCAGTATGTATCGGACCTGGCAGTAACATGGTCACTGACTGTATATACATTCTATGTGTGAGATATAGAATCCCAGGATATTTATTATATATAGTCAGTCAGTATGTATCGGACCTGGCAGTAACATGGTCACTAACTGTATATACATTCTATGTGTGAGATATAGAATCCCAGGATATTTATTATATATAGTCAGTCAGTATGTATCGGACCTGGCAGTAACATGGTCACTAACTGTATATACATTCTATGTGTGAGATATAGAATCCCAGGATATTTATTATATATAGTCAGTCAGTATGTATCGGACCTGGCAGTAACATGGTCACTAACTGTATATACATTCTATGTGTGAGATATAGAATCCCAGGATATTTATTATATATAGTCAGTCAGTAAGTATCGGACCTGGCAGTAACATGGTCACTGACTGTATATACATTCTATGTGTGAGATATAGAATCCCAGGATATTTATTATATATAGTCAGTCAGTATGTATCGGACCTGGCAGTAACATGGTCACTAATTGTATACATTCTATGTGTGAGATATAGAATCCCAGGATATTTATTATATATAGTCAGTCAGTATGTATCGGACCTGGCAGTAACATGGTCACTGACTGTATATACATTCTATGTGTGAGATATAGAATCCCAGGATATTTATTATATATAGTCAGTCAGTATGTATCGGACCTGGCAGTAACATGGTCACTGACTGTATATACATTCTATGTGTGAGATATAGAATCCCAGGATATTTATTATATATAGTCAGTCAGTATGTATCGGACCTGGCAGTAACATGGTCACTGACTGTATATACATTCTATGTGTGAGATATAGAATCCCAGGATATTTATTATATATAGTCAGTCAGTATGTATCGGACCTGGCAGTAACATGGTCACTAATTGTATACATTCTATGTGTGAGATATAGAATCCCAGGATATTTATTATATATAGTCAGTCAGTATGTATCGGACCTGGCAGTAACATGGTCACTGACTGTATATACATTCTATGTGTGAGATATAGAATCCCAGGATATTTATTATATATAGTCAGTCAGTATGTATCGGACCTGGCAGTAACATGGTCACTGACTGTATACATTCTATGTGTGAGATATAGAATCCCAGGATATTTATTATATATAGTCAGTCAGTATGTATCGGGCCTGGCAGTAACATGGTCACTAACTGTATACATTCTATGTGTGAGGTATAGAATCCCAGGATATTTATTATATATAGTCAGTCAGTATGTATCGGACCTGGCAGTAACATGGTCACTGACTGTATATACATTCTATGTGTGAGATATAGAATCCCAGGATATTTATTATATATAGTCAGTCAGTATGTATCGGACCTGGCAGTAACATGGTCACTAACTGTATATACATTCTATGTGTGAGATATAGAATCCCAGGATATTTATTATATATAGTCAGTTAGTATGTATCGGTTCTGGCAGTAACATGGTCACTGACTGTATGTACACTGGGTCATATAGCAAGAGCAAGTGTCAACCTTCCCATTCTGTGATTGTTTATTATATACTGATGGATAATACTATACTATAACTATTATATACTGATAGAAAATGCATACTATATCTCTATATTATACACTGATCGATAACGCATATTATAACTATATATTATATACTGATCGATAACACATACTATAATTCTATATTATATACGGATTGATAATGCATACTATAACTATTATATAGTGATCGATAACGCATACTATAACTATTATATACTGATCGATAACGCATACTATAACTATATTATATACTGATGGATAATGCATACTATAACTATTATATACTGATAGAAAATGCATACTATAACTCTATATTATACACGGATTGATAATGCATACTATAACTCTATTTTATATACTGATCGATAACGCATACTATAACTCTATATTATATACTAATGGATAATGCATGCTATAACTATATATTGCATGCTCTGAGTTTATATTACATGGCACATGCTCTGACTATATATTGCATAGTGCATGTTCTGACTATATATTACATGGTGCATGTTCTGACTTTATATTACCTGGCACATGCTCTGACTATATATTGCATAGTGCATGCTCTGACTATATATTACATGGTGCATGCTCTGACTATATATAACATAGTGCATGCTCTGACTATATATTACATGGTGCATGCTCTGACTTTATATTACATAGTGCATGCTCTGACTATATATTACATGGTGCATGCTCTGACTTTATATTACATGCTCTGACTTTATATTACATAGTGCATGCTCTGACTATATATTACACGGTGCAGGCACTGACTATATATTGCATGGTGCATGGCGCATGCTCTGACTATGTATAATATAACGATTCATCTCCTGGTTCTGTGCATTAAACATGTTTTGTTAGAATTAAGTATTTGTCTTGTTAACCTATTGTACAGCGCTGCGGAATATGTTGGCGCATTATAAATAATTGTGATTGATAGATATGGCTTACTCTGTCACTGTCACGGTTTTATTGATGAGGTGTTTGGTGACCGCACTCAATAAATAGATGTTCTAGGGTTGATCCAGAAGGAGCCGGGGTGTCTGCTCTCCCTGGCCTCTGTCAGATACTGGGGTCAGAGTCTGGGGAGACCTGGCTCGCTCCCAGGGTACTGCTGGGGATGGAGGCAGTGCAGAGGAAGCAGGAAGGAGCCACCAGGCTGGAGAAGAGAACACTGACAGCTAGACTGTCTATCCCTGTGTACAGTATGGAGTTCATCATACACTGTGTATAAGAAGAGAGAGGGGGCATATACTCTGTATAACAAGAAAGGGGCAATCTATATTATCAAGTGCAAGGGAGCATGCACTGTGTATACCAACATGAGGGAGGGTATACACTGACTGTGTATAATAACAAGCGGGAGAGGGGTGCATTAACTGTGTATAAAAAGATTGTTTGCACTGTGTATAACAAAAAAAGGCATGCACTAACAGCATAAAAAAATTAAATATAATCACACACACAGATCAAACGTCTCTCTAAATTGTAAAAGGTTGGAAAATAATCTACTTTTTTTTATTTTACATGAAATTAATATTCATTAAAAGGATTCTCTAATCACCATGACCACTTCTGCTGTTTGAAGTTGTCATGGTGTAGGAGTCTGATTGTGCAGTGTTTCAGCTTACACCCCCAGCACATGTGATCTAGGCGGTTCCAGGCTGCCTAAGGTCAACTCTGTGCATATTTCACGACTATGACTACAGACGTTCACTACTGGCAAACGTTCCGAGCTGGTTAAATGGTCCAAAGGGTTCTCATGATTGGACCTCCCCACGGCTCCCGTAACCTCACAAGGCAGTATGGCCTGGAGCTGGGTTAGGGTAAAAAAAAAAAACTTATTTTAAATATATTTAAGTGTTTGGTTGTTTATATATCGGGGTGGGTGGGGTGGCAGGGGACATAAAGTTTAAAAAAAATAATAAATAAAAGAGTGGAGATACCCTTTTAAACAATTTAGGAGATTCATTTTGAACAAATGTAGACCTCAATTTAATTCTTTTGGACATACTTTCCAAATGTTCACAATCTGTTAGAAAAAACGTTTCAAATGATTTATCTACAGAAGTCACTATTGGAATCTATGGGAATATGCATAGATAAATAATTTACAAAAAACTAATTGTGATAATTTGAAAAGCTTATTTAAATCAAAATCTTTGAGATCTGTGAGACCAGAAAATAAAATCTTAATACAGGGTTTTTGGTGTGTATAGTCCGCTCCTGCAGGCACATCTCGTGAGGCAGTGTTTACATTGTTGGCTGGTAACATCTCACCAGGCAGTGACTCAGACAGCCACTAGAGGTGCTACCTGGGTCAGTGCTGCACAGTGCAGCACTGACGTTCAACGCCTCCACACTCTGCATGGAGACGTTGAACTTTCCCCATAGAGATGCATTGATTCAATTCATCTCTATGAGGAGATGCTAATTGGCGCAGAGTAGTGCTCTGCTGTGCATGTGCAGTAGTCTCACAATGCTTTCCTATGGGAAATAATTGAATTGGTTGAGATGATCAAGACTGATGACCTCAGCCAAGGAGGCTGAACGTTCACTAGGCCAGTGACTGGCGCGGCGCTGCGCTGGAAAGAGTTGAATATAGCACCTTTTTAGCCAGGGTTAAGGGGTAGCTGATCATCGAAAACAGGGCTGCGAAACCTACGGCCCACCAGATGTTTTTGAATTACAACGCTCAGGATTCTTTGAATAAAACAGGAAGCCAATGCCCATGTTTTTTTTTTTTTTATGAAACAGCCAGGGGATCATGGGAGTTGTAGTTCAAAACACATGGGGGGCCGCAGGTTGTCCAGGCCTGATCTAAACAGTTATTTAGACCTTTAGTGTCAGGAATACACATTTGTATTCCTGACACTATATTGCCCCTTTAAATATTTCAGTAAAATGTAGGTGTGGGGACATTTATCAATTATGGATTGTCATGTGCAGAGATTTTAAAATAAATAAAACATGGTGGTCCCAGCCATACCCATCGGCTTTGGGTTCCCAAAAAAATAAAAAGCATTGAAGTGTGAAATATTTAAGTATCTAGCAGGCAGTAGGACACTGTGATCCCATATTTCTGATCCCCCAGTGATTAATAGGTGTTCGTAGAAGTCTCCTTTCATTTATTGCTTTCTTGTTACCTGTGCCCTAAATGTTTAATCAATTTAGATATAATTCCGATATACAATTTAGATATCATTTCATTTCTATCTAATGTTAAACTATTTATCTCCATCTTGTCTGCCAGAGAATGAAGATGAAGAGTCTCACTTATAGTTAAATTACACACTCATATCTGATCACTTGACTTGATAACGACTGCTGATGTCACATTGTCACAATCCCAACACAACGTTCCAATACTATCCATTGTCACTTTTACCATTATGGGATTGGTGGAAACGGTATCTATATGTTAACATTAAACACTCATGTTTTAAAGGACCACTCTAGGCACCCAGACCACTTCAGCTTAATGAAGTGGTCTGGGTGCCAGGTCCTTCTAGGGTTAACCCATTTTTTCATAATTATAGCAGTTTCAGAGAAACTGCTATAATTATGAATGGGTTAAGCCTTCCCCCAAAGCCTCTAGTGGCTGTCTCATTGACGGCCACTAGAGGCGCTTGCGTGCTTCTCACTGTGATTTTCACAGTGAGAGCACGCCAGCGTCCATAGGAAAGCATTGTAAATGCTTTCCTATGAGACCGGCTGAATGCGCGCGCAGCTCTTGCCGCGCGTGCGCATTCAGCCGGCGGGGCGTAACGGAGGCGGAGAGGAGGAGGAGAGCTCTCCGCCCAGCGCTGGAAAAAGGTAAGTTTTTACCCCTTTCCCCTTCCAGAGCCGGGCGGGAGGGGGACCCTGAGGGTGGGGGCACCCTCAGGGCACTATAGTGCCAGGAAAACGAGTATGTTTTCCTGGCACTATAGTGGTCCTTTAAAGATCGAAATCTGTCTGATGAGGCATTAGTGGCACCATCAGATCCTTAGCATGTTCTTTATCAATGACTTTAAAACGCTATTCTGACAAATTACCAGTAACCCAAAATTAAAACCACAGGACCACTTTATTAAAGAAATGCTTTAGCATTTGAATACAAGACTGTATTGCTAACGTTATGGTGTCCCTCTGCCAATAACGAAAGGTCCAGCCCCCTCCCAGTTAATAAAGGGTTAAAAAGCTTTTTTTCAGTTACCCGTTTTCAGTACCGAGGTCCCTAGGCGCTGGCTCTGTGTCCTTCTCCTCTGATGATACAACGTTGGGGCAACCTAACGTGCATTCACATCCAGCGTTGCAAGCATTAGGCCTTCCCCATAGCAAAGTATCGAATCAAGGCTTTCCCATGGGGATTTTTAAGATGCTGGACGTCATCATGACGAAGTCTAATGTCCCATTAAAACTCTGGACTTGCCTCTAGTGGCTGCCTGGTAGACCGTCACTAGAGGTGGACTTAACACTGCAATGTAAACATTGCAATGTCTCTGGAACTGCTCTGTTTTACATTGCAAGGTTAAGATGTCAGAGACATTGCACCCAGAAAACTTCAATGAGATGACGTGGTCTGGGCGCCTATAGTGTCTCTTTAACATGAACTGGTCTGGGTGACTTTAGTGTCCATTAAGATTGGCCTTTGAAGCAGGAGAGGCATCTTTCTCATCCAATGCTTCACAAGGGAAGTGAAATGGAAATCTTAAGGCGAAGAAGCATCATGTGCTTAATGGTGTAAAAAGAAGGCCACCTGTCCCAGGTGTCAAAGCACAGGAGCTCATGATATCTGTCATTTTACACTATCACCCAGCTAGCAGGGATGCAGCATAAAGGATGAAGCAATACTATAGAGACCTTTCCTTTCTGAGGTGCAGACCTCTCGTACCTTCAGGATTCACGTGGAAAATATCTGCAGGAATCCTGCTTCGAAGGCTTTCATTGTGCAGCATCAATGCATCCATCCAAGGCTTTTGTTAGTAAATAGAAAGCATCAGCCCCAATAGGCAGACCCTCCGAATTCTCACATCTTATCGAAAAGAACTTGTCCCCTAGATATCTTAATGCCCATAGCATAGCACTGCCGAAAATGGTGGAAACTTTGCTTATGCCAATGAATATAAATAATCTTAATTGTGGAAGAAAGAGAAAAATAAACAGCGTCAGCACTCGGCAGTCAAGGTATGTGGTTTATTCATCCAACGTTCGTGACTTGAGAAAGATGCTAAATGTCTTAAAACATTGGATTTCACTTTGTTGGCTGAATTAACCACATACCTTAACTGCCGAGTGCTGAAGACTTTAACAGCGATCCTTCCTTCAGGCACCGGCACCAATACTTGGATCACTTCATGTGTGCCGTCCAATTCTTTAGGTTTACAGAAATAAATTGAATGTTATAATTGAAGAAATCTGACTTGTACTCTGGCTGACCTTTTTTTTATTTTCAAAAAGTTTATAATTGCAGCACATATATGGTTTCAAAAACTGAAATCACTCTCAGCGGCTTTTTAATAGATCGCCTCAAACTATTGTCAAAAGTGGACACTCCATTCATAAAAAATAAATAAAAAGGTCAACATGAATATATTAAATACTGCGCATACACACATATATAAAAAAAATCCTACAGTATTAAACAGTTCTTTGCATTCCTAACACTACTGTGTTCCTTTAACTGTATCTTCTCAGACTAACGATACATTTTACTATATCACTCACATGTCCAAGAGCGTTCCCAAATTGTACGTTATCTTTGGAATTGTCAACCTCATTCTACCAATTTCTGCTCCGATTTTAAAAAGGCTGATTTGAAGGAACATTCTCACTCAATATTATAGGACTCTATTCCACGTAGGATCTGGAGTAGTACGACTGGATGTGCTAAGTGTTACAAATATAGATCACTTGCAAAGATTGTACGAATTGGGTTGATACATTGGTAGATGGCTTTAACATAGAAACATAGAATGTGACGGCAGATAAGAACCATTTGGCCCATTTAGTCTGCTCTATAGGAATTGTACAGATGGGTTTATAGAACTGGATGTAGGAGTTGTATTATTTATGTATATCAAGAGAAAGACTTTCAGTTCTACATTACAGAATTCAGCATTAATTACATTAAAAGGGCATTTAGATGATAGCAAATAGAGTTGTTTGAGTAGGACTCACCTAAGAGGTTTGCCAAAAGGGTAATAGGACCTGCACTCAATCCCAGCAACTCCGGAGCAGGACCAGCAATCCCACAATGATAAGGCAACACAAGAAATTCTCCAGGCACTCAAGCTGCAGACAGTTTTAATAGGATTATTAGTGAATAGGATTATTAAATCTGCCTGGAAAATTTCTTGTGTTGCCTCACCTAAGAGGTTTGTCTTCAAATTGGCAGGAAAGCTTACACTTTAATGGCATTGCAATGGTATCAAAACCATTTAAATGGACACAGGGATTTTATACAGTGAGCGGATTGCCTTTTTGGTTTTGTTACGTTTAGGTGGATTTATAGGTCTGGATACATAGCAATTGTTCTAATATTATGATTATTATTACCATTATTGGGATTTATATAGAACCAACTTATTCCGCAGCGCTTTACAATATTATGAAAGGTGGGAAATTTAACAATGAATCAGACAATTACAACATGATATGTGAACAGGTAGATGCAGACCCTGCTTAGACGAGCTTGCAGTCTAGAGGAGTGAATTATAGAGACACAATAGGAAGGGTATCAAGGGTGACCGCAAACAATCAAGGTAGACAACTAACAGACAGAACTTGAGGTGAGAGTCGATGTGGCTCTTTAGGAGAGCAAGAAACAGATATGTGACATATAGGTTACTCTGGGAGATCATTTCTGAACAGATATGTTTTGAGGGACTTCTTAAAAAAAAATGAAGACCACGGGAGAGTCTGATGGGGGTAGGCAGGCTGTTCCAAAGGAAAGGAGTCGCTCGCGAGAAGTCCTACAAGCGCGAGTTAGCAGTGAGGGTGCGAGGAGAGGACAGAAAGTGGTCAGAAGAGCGGAGAGACCAAGAAGGGGCATATATAACAATGTAACAGGGGCTAGAGTTGGTTAGAGCTTTATACAGGGATATATATGGATTATTAGTTCTGGATATACAGTCGTGTTCCAATACAGGGAACGATGGAGTATTAGTTCTGGATATACAGTCGTGTTCCAATACAGGGAACGATGGAGTATTAGTTCTGGATATACAGTCGTGTTCCAATACAGGGAACGATGGAGTATTAGTTCTGGATATACAGTCGTGTTCCAATACAGGGAACGATGGAGTATTAGTTCTGGATATCCAGTCGTGTTCCAATACAGGGAACGATGGATTATTAGTTCTGGATATACAGTCGTGTTCCAATACAGGGAACGATGGATTATTAGTTTTGGATATACAGACATGTTCTAATACAGGGAACGATGGATTATTAGTTCTAGATATACAGTCATGTTCTAATACAGGGATAGAGAGAGGTCTAGGAATGAGCAGAGGATCTATGTGTTGACACAGAAAGAAGATCCTTTAGTTCCCCGTCAGACAAATGAATTCTCTTATTGGTGACTTAATATCAGAGGGATTTCCTTTACTCTAAACAGTCTTTAGTCTTTTCCCATCAAGTGTCTCCCACACAAATAAACACAGACAAACACTGGCAGTTTAAGTGCTGGACTGGCATCTTCCCTGTTTGAGCTCATTCCTCTTGGAGCCTGGAAACGTCTCAGTGGGGTGTCATCTGGTAGAAAAGCAGCACTTCAGACAAAGCGAATCGGACATGATTAACCCTATATGTGACACATACCTCAGATCAGATACAAATGTTACAAATGTATCAGTTGTATAACAGATCCATTAATACATGGATCACACTGAATATATTCGGCAATTTGCATTCCACAAAGGGACCCAGTGATTATACAAGAAGGGGGCAAATGCTAAATCCATGGTGTTGCGCGCAACTGAGAATTACCTCGAAACAAGCGAACCAGTTTTACTAATAAAAATTGCACTTGGTCTTCAGTTGTGTAAATGTTATTTGGGACCCAAGACAACTAAAATCTGCTTCCATTAAAAAAATAAAGATAATAATAAAAGTATATTATTTAAATTCCTAAATATTGTCTACACTACAAGTAATATTTTATATTTAAGAGTTTTTCTTTATTTCAGCATTCTGTGTTAATAAATAAAATCCATCATTACTAGCCTGCTCACTGGGACAGTGATAATAAAATTCATACCTTAGTATGCACTTAGCTAAAACCATATGGGGATATGATAACCCAACAGATTAACGTTTGCTGCCAAATCACACAACACAAAAAAAAATAAAATAATAAAATTTAAAAAAAAATGCTTTACACCTCTTTTTTACCTTTTGCCAAAAGGCAACCAATTTAAGTTTTCTATAAATGATCCCTCTCCAAAAAAATGGGGGAAATTTTGGGAGGCTGACACACAGGATAACACTAAAAATAAATGTTACTGTATTGTATAATTATTGTATTTTAAGCTTTACACAATTAGTAAACTGAAAAAGGGAGTTTAGTTTGTTGGGCTGTTTGCCGATTTGGTCTCAAACTGAGCTATTTGTTTGAAGTTGTTCCCTGGTACAAAAAGTAACCAGCCGTCCCCTGCTGTGACGTATGCTAAACTCAATGAAAAGAATGCTGGGTGATGTTACCAGAAGAGAAAGTAAGTATTGCGGAGATACAGATAAAGATAATAACTGGTAAATAAATAAATGGTAAGAGATTTGCAGGCCTCCCAACAGTCCCAATTTTGGGGTCATGTTCTGCCATCCTGTTTTAGTTCCTTGGTATCCTGCACAGGAGGCTGGATGAGGGTGGCGAGTGACAGTTGATTTACTGGTGACACCCCTCATGCTCTTTCCACACTCCGTCCTGGTGGGCCCCCACCTGCCTAGAGTACCAGTGCTTGCGGTATGCGCTTACTTGGAAGAGTAGGCACCTACCCACACGGCAGGTGCTTACTCTGCCCAAACAGATCAGTGCCCAGGGGTGGGCACAGGTCCTGCAATGTGTCAACAGCCAAGATATAACATCACCTTGACCTCACATTCATTAGAGGGTAAATATGGGACCTTTGCAGGAAGAGCACATTTATCCCAGAAACAACCCACTGGCCAACAGGCAGAGGATTCACCCCTCCCAGAAAAAGGTAGGGAGGCTGAATGGACCAAAAAATGTGTGTTTGAATGTGTCTGTGATCGTGTTTGTTTGTCTGTGATTATGTGTATAGTTCTGTGATTAAGTCTGTGAGTGAATGAAAATGTGTTCAGTAGACAGCTCCCTAATTTGGTATCCTTAGAGGGACACTATAGTCACCAAAAAAACTGTAGCTTAATGAAGCAGTTTTAATGTATAGATCATGCCCCTGAAGTCTCACTGCCCAATTCACTGCCATTTAGGAGTTAAATCACTTTTGTTTCTGTCTATGCAGACCTAGCTACATCTCCCCTGGCTGTGACTGACACAGCCTACATGAAAACAAAATGGTTTCATTGTCAATCGGATGCTTACTTGCTTTATAAGTGTTTATCTCCTGCTTTGTAAATTTAGCTTTAACTCACACACAGGAATACTCATCTGGAATTTAAAGTGTTCGCCTCTAATAAATACCTGCATTGCCTTCCTTCTCCAGCAAGCCAAGGGTTATACGTACTCGGCAGCACTATACATTACGCACATACATTTCCCAGTGCCGAGGGATGATGCACAGCCAATTTATAGAGAACCAGGGGCTTACATTCCAGGCTTGTGACAAGTGACATCGGATGACAATAAGCAGCTACGGAGTGGACTCTGGGAGACAATGCACAGATGTGACAAGCAAGGAGTCAGTTTAGAATTTAGAATGCAATTTACTAAATACGAAGTTGCGGATTCTACCCACAGCCATGGCTATACAGATGAAGGGAGAGAATATTTCTGGAAAACACTTAACAGGCAAATTTTAGTTTAGATCTCAAACATTTGACACTAGAAATCTTGGGAGAGGGGAGGACATTTTACTGAGCGGAAGATGCAGGTGCCAAATAAATCTCCATGTTCCCCTCTCAGGTTATCCCTCATGTTTTTAATATACGGTCGAGGACTGAGAGACTGAATCGATGGGTCTCAATCACGAAGTTAGCAGAGCTTAAACATTGTTGTCAAATAATGGTTTCAAATAAATAAGCCCAAATATGATGCTTTCTCTCCACTACTGCAAAATTGGGTTAACAACAGAGCAACCACTTCATATATCAGTCATGTCAATATTTGAAGTTAACTATAAGGAATTGCACTCGAATATGGGTTCTATAAACCACCGATACAATCCACTGATGTAAATGTTAGTGGGGCTGGCTATGTGCGGTGTGAATGTGGGGTCGGTGAATCTGATGTGTGGGGGTTGGTTGAATGAGATGTGTGTGTGTGCGTGCGTGTGCGTGTGTGTGCAGTGATGAATGTGGGGAAGCTGTACTGTGAATTTAACTCCTCTTTACCTTTCTACAAGGAGAGTGGTATAATCTCCGGAGGTCTACTGGGAGTATAATCCCTAGTGGTCCTGTGAGAGTGGTGACAAGATTCATAGAGGTCCAGTGGGGGAACATTAATCCGCACCTTCCGCAGGTGCAGACCATAGTAGAAAGACTCTTTCTGGACAATGGATGAATCAGTGTTGCCATACCGGTGTTGCCATTAAAGTGGATGGCACATGCTGAAGGCACAGACCACATGCTTCCTACACGCAGTGCTGTGCTCTCCATGCTGCCGCTCTCCATGAGGCCTCAGTATCGGTGGCTTTGGGAGAAATCTGGCATTGCAAGCAACCAACATTGTGGTGCTGGAGATGAATTGTTGGTTGGCCAGATCACATGTAGGAGGAAATACTTTTAGGGTTATTCGCTAAAGTGAGAATTAAAGGGAAGGATTTTCAAACTGGAGTTATAGTTTTGAATTCCAAAAGACTACTTAAAATTACCCATCTCAGAAAACAAATATGGGGATTCAGTTCCACCATATTGTGTTAAGCTCACCACTACGCCACAGTGCCCAATATTGCTGTTTATCATATTCATTTTGATATATTTATTCACAATGCTCTTAGAACAGATTAATTGAATACACATTTAGCACTAGCACTATTTAATTTGTCTCCCACATTAACCTTACTGTAGGACCACAGATATTGGTATACAGTGACATAGTGGTGGGCTTAACACGATATGGCCGTATGGTGGAACTGAATCCTCATATTTGTTTGCGGTTTCCCTTTATGTGTGTGCTGTTCCTTAATCTGTATTTTGTATAAATTGTGGTCTCGAAGGCAGCAACATTGGTGAGAAAAGCATGTTCTGGGTGTGCCCTAATTTTGACATATACACAAACACACACACACAAATTCCCTTCATTAACCTGAAACGTCTGTCACAGGGTAATATGTAGGAGGAAAAGTAGAAGCAAGAAAGAAAAAAAAATAAATAGAATTAAAAAAGCTTAGTAAGCAAACTTGCTCAGTACAAGCTGATCCGAGAAAGTTACAAGGTTTCGTTTTGTCTCCATTCATTTGGCAGAGCTGGATATCACTCATGTTCCTGTACTATAAAAACAAACAGAAAACCTCTCCTTGCTTCCTCTGCCAGACTCCACTGAAAACACTCATCTATACATCGGTGTAGGAACCAAAGAAGATCTGGAGGGACAGCTTTTCATTATAATCGCAGTCCTTCGTAGGAAGTATACACCCTGTTCCAAATTATGCAAATTAATTTTTTCTCATTTACCTAAATAATTGATGTAAATAACAGTCAGCATAATTCTCATACTATCAACTATTAAGAGTACAATTCACATTTTATTGAACAAACCTCCTAATGATAACAGTATTTTTTTAAACATAAAAAAACCGTACAATGCGCTGTTCCAAATTATTACGCACAGTAAGTTTCAAAACACTTTATAGGTTGTAAAGAACTGAAAATTGTCATTTGTTGTGTTTGCAGCATATTTACTGAAATCAAAAGCTATTTCAATCAAACGTATAACAACATTTTAACATAGGACCCCTTATTTGATAGCAGCTTCACAAGTCTTGCATCCATTGAACTTGTGAGTTTTTGGACAGTTTCTGCTTGAATTTGTTTGCAAGATGTCAGAATAGCCTCCCAGAGCTGCTGTTTGGATGTAAACTGCCTCCCACCCTCATAGATCTTTTGCTTGAGGATGCTCCCAAGGTTCTCAATAGGATTGAGGTCAGGGGAGGATGGAGGCCACACCTTGACTTTCTCTCCTTTTATCCCCATAGCAGCCATTGATGCAGATGTATTCTTTGCAGCATGAGATGGTGCATTGTCATGCATGAAGATGATTTTATTACGGAAAACATAGTTCTTCCTTCTGTACCAGGGAAGAAAGTGGTCCGTCAGAAACTCCTCTACTTGTGAGCATTGGTTAGCGGTGGCTGAATAGAAGGTTTATGCACGGTTGCAAGACTCTGGAGGACTTTACACCTTGATGTCCGTGGGACTCCAGAGGCACCAGCAGCTTCAAATATCTGTTTGCTGCTATGTGATGGTATTTTAGCAGCTGCTCTCTTGATCCGATGCATGGATCTGGCAGAAATCTTCCTCAATGTACCTTTATCTGCACGAACCCGTCTGTGCTCTGAATCAGCCACAAATCTCCAAATAGTGCGATGATCATGCTTAAGTTTTTGTGAAATAGCTAATGTTTTCATACCTCGTCCAAGGCATTGAACTATTTCACTCTTTTCGACAGCAGAAAGATCCTTTTTCTTCCCCATATTGCATGAAAATGGTGCTCTGCTGAATAATTTAGTCCTTTAGTAGTTTTTCCTCAAATTGGGTTCACCTGGCAATCTAATTATCACAGGTGTCCGAGATTGTTTTCAGTGATCAAAAGAGCCCTGAGACACAATGCCATCTATGAGTTGAACTGAAAAACAAAATATTTAATCTTTGTGACACTTAAATAGAATTTGCATAATAATTTGGAACAAGGTGTACATTAAACCATGCAGTTTTCAGGCAAAATTATATAAAATTACTAGGGAGTCTATTAGTGGAATGGGATACCCAACGCGTTTATTATAGGTTGTTTTTCTCATCTTTACTAAAACGCTAAACACTTGATCTTCAAAGCTAAGCAGACATGCTTGGTGAGAGCTCCTCACTGATCCTACAAAATCAGTAGCCAAACTGCATGTTTTACGCCAGTCTGACACCCTCAGTGACTACTTACCTCATCCTGTACTCAAGGGTGCTCTCTTTTGGCAATTCTCGCATTCATTTCAAGCCATTTGCATGGAATCCTAGACATCGGCCTGCGAGTCCTGGCAAACACTACAGATGGGAGAGGTGGACAATCTCCTGGCCTAGCGCAGCCTGTATATTCGCTTTCTTAGCTCCCTTGGACCGGTGAGGGTTAATCCAGTTCCCACAGCGGAGGTTGTTAGCAGAAGAAGTTACCTGAACACACCTTGCACTAGTGTGGTACCAGAGCCCGCTACAAGATGGTTGCAAGGTTTCCAGAAGAGGAGCATGGCTTCCGCCAAGGATATCCAGACTTGATTCAATAGACTATGTGAGAGCTTTTGGAGTAGCTATCTGAACATCGAACTCAGACAACATCTACTACCTACCTTGCGAAGGAAGATAAGCAACAATAAGGTGGGAGACCACAGAGACCTGGTACCTGGCATGTTTTCCTCCCTTGGCACTGATATTCCCATTTGGAGTCTACCTAAGCTGATTTGAGGCTTGCACCCATTACACTGCCTGCTTCTGTGGAAGTCCAACCAAGGGAAATGAAAAAGAAGTTGTGAACTTCGTTCCTGGACCCCATGAAGTCCCCCTGAGGAGAAAAACCTAAGCACTCTTTGATCCCGGTCTGCGGTGACATAGTGAGGGTTCTTTATTCAGCTCGGGGCTGGTGTATGAGTACTCTAATATATTTACATTTGCAAGTTTGGTACATTGCGACCTAGTAGAAGAATTGCATGACTGCTTCCACAACCCTGGCACGCTGGCTTCCTTTCATTTAGGCCTTCACCTGGTGCTACCTTTTTATACATCTCTCATTTTCAGCGTGGGCAAAGACGCCACCAGCTTCTAGAACGCCTCCATGTGGTCTATATACTGCCGGAGGCACCTTAATACCCGCTAACCAACTAACATTTTGTATACATTTTTTTAGTGCACAGTTTAAAGTTGCAATGCATTAAGTCAATAGGCTAATCACCTTCTAACCGTAGAGTAAGCTCATATCTGTGACAAGCTACGTAAAAAATATATAGTTACTACTTTCTTACGCATGTTTTGCTGATATTCATTGTACCTATCTTTCTTGTTATAGATCTTTATGTTCAGCTATGTGCAACTGCATATCCAAAAATATAGATAATAAAAAAGGCACTGGCAGTGGTAATGTGTAACAAAGTTGGGTACTCCACTTCCAGAACTAGGGTATACATTTTCAAATATTCTGGTTTTAGAAATACGCAGAGCAATAAATGTATCAAAATAAATAAAAATGAAATAAAAACGGAGCCTTTTTTTTTTATTTTAAATAAATTTAATCCAGCTCCTTATTCTTGTAGAGCCCAAAAACAAAAACCACTAAAACCTCATTGGCACCTGTATCACGACCTTCCAGATTATTTACTAAACTCTAAATTGTAAAAAACAGTTTCCAAATTGGCAAATTTTTTATGCTAATATAATAACGGTCACTTTAGTTAAGGTATAAAATTTCAGGAATTCAAAATTTTAGGTCAAACTAAACCATGGCAATGTAGAATTCTCTTTGTGGCTAAAAATTTGAAATTTGTTTGGAATTTACCACAATTCACACTTTAGTGAATTCATTCTCACACGTTAAAAGTGATCATGGACAGATACAGAACAAAAATTCAGATTCATTTCTCTTAGCGGCAATCGCAGGGAGCCTAAACACCAAGATTAGGGAGTATAAATAGAGTCATCAGCTAAATGAATAAATTAATTGTACAATATCCAATATGTCCGCAGCAATTAGAAGACACTTTTTTATATCTCACCCCAAACAAGTACACAGAAACACAAGAAGACAAGACAAGGATTTGGAAACCCATACCGGTCCATCGATGGTCTGTATCATCATAAATAATCAGACATTAAAAACTCTCCTCTGACATTTCCTGCTGATTGGAAAGGAGTAGAACATTATATACTGGCAGTAAATGAATCCTCCATCAACATTTTGCTGGCACCCATTATTACAGGAAGGTGACAGTCACAAAGTAAGTATTCATTTCGGGAGCTACCTGCTAAACTGCTGATAAAATAAAGCCCTCTGAAAAGGCAGTGTTTACATTAAAAGGAGTGCAGGGACAGGCTGTAGACACCAGGACATTAAGCTGTAGTGGTTCTGATGACTATAGTGTCCCAAATTAGGAAGCTATCTACTAAACAGCTGGAAGATCAAAATTAAGAAAAGGGCTTTAGCAGATAATTCCTTAATTTGCTATGCCTATCAAATAGAATGGATCTGAAACAAGCCCATTTGACATTGATCAGTACATTTGTTTTGTTTTTCCTAGATTTGATTCATATGGTACAGAATTGCCGATTTGGCACCAATTTCAAATGAAAGTCGACTCGGAACCAAATGGATTGCAAATGTCTAAAATGACGCTAGTAGGAAGCCACTTATCAATGAGTAATACTGCAACAAGTCAAGTCTACATAGTCTGCGGCAGAACCTTTCATGTACAGCCTGTGAACACATAGAATTTATTTAAAGAAAAATCAATGGATCTAATAACCCTATATACAAGGTAAAATATATGCACATACATAGACAGAAGATAGTTTTTCCAGATGGTATACAAGCTGGAAAAGAGAGAATGTAGAATTGTAGGCCAATGCACTGAGCTGGGAGATATTTTATCCAATTTCGATGCCTTACAATTTGCAGTTTCCTTGTCAATTCTCCACAGTTCAGCTAATACAACCAGAATAAGTCAGGATAGATATATATGTATAAGAGACTGGAAGGAAATGAGGGGGTTAACGAACCATTAACTAACGGGAATGTTTTACTCAAACAGTAGAACCTCATTCTCCAAATTGCACTTAGGATCTAACAAACAGGTCCAAATTTCATTCAATTCCTTTTGCTCAAATAAGTTAATGAGTGACTAATTTATTCTCACTGACACACCTGTACTCCACTTCATGTTAGATTCACCAGGTTTTCCTGCACGTAGAATTTCTTTGTACTGAAGGGCACTACATGAAAAGTGTTGCCCCATAGTTTGCATAGATGTCAAGGTCTTCATATTTTACCCTCAAGTTTAAAAAGCATTGGTATACCAGGTCCCCCTAATCCATGAGGAGGGATTTATTTGATCAAAAACAGGCGTTAATCCCGGTGCAAAGACTAATTGTTCAGAGACATATAAATCTCCCTCATAAAGCATTAATCCGCATATTCCACATTTCATTTAATAAGACTTTAAATCTTATTTACCAAAGTGTAAATTTATAAAGAATTTTAAAGTTAGAGCCCCCAAAAAATAAAAAAATTGTAAAATGTTTCCAATTTGGCTTATTTCGGACTAAAAATTCAAACTAGATTTTGCTAAAGCCCATTAGAATAAAAATGTTATGATGTCATCACATTAAAAAATATATAATTAGTAAAGTAACGGATTATGAGTTATATTGAATACGTACATAAAAGATAGCTGTTCACCAGCTTTACATCCATCACCTGATGTTAGTAACTAGACTCTAAACCAGCCATGGCTACCCTTAGCATACATTTGCCATAATACTCACTCCACCTTTGCAGGCTACATATCCCACAATTCTCAGCCATTTCATACTGCCTGCTTTTCAAGGCAGCCATGTTTTTAGTTTGGCTTTTTTTGGTTTAATATTTGAAATACACATTAGGTTTTATGAACTAAACTCAGAATTATAGGAAATTATAAGCTCAGTTGCAAAATACAGGCAAGACTAGCTAAGCCGTGTCCACAGTTGAGTATGATAACTTTTCTAGATCAGCTATTTTTGCCTGAGATTTGGCTTTAAATACAAATTAATTCTGAGTTTAGTAAAAAAAAAAAATGCTTATGAATTTTCCTAAATTCACCCTTTAACATGGTTATTCATTGAGTTTAGAATTGTATCACATTTAAAGGAAAACTTTCATGAAATTTTAACTTCTCAATTTTTTTTAAAGGTTTATTACATTTAATAAAACATAATTATTTTTTTGTTTATATAATTTTTTTTTTTTTTAAATGTAACTTTTTCTCTGGCTGAGCAGCCATTTTGGTTTGGACTCCGCTATTATCTTATCAATTGCAGCTCAACCAAACTTGCTGCTGCTGCTGCTGCAGTTTTCACATGGAAAAATCAAAGCATTAGCAAGTTAGGTTGAGCAGCAGTTGGTCAGATAACAGTATAGTCTGACCTAACATGGCTGCTCAGGCAGATACAAGAAAGTCAAGTTTCATTAATAAATTTAATGAGAATTTCAAATATAATATTGCTGAAGTGCTTTATGATTGAAGAGTGTGTTCTTTTTTTTTCATTTTACATAAAATGTAGATTTCAGTAGAAATTGGTACTTTAATACATTTACTTTTTTTATACCCTTTGGCTGTCAATCAGACAATAGGGCCTGTTACTTCCTGGTTTGGTTTGCTCAGTGGATCTAAACTCAAGAGGCAGCAATTGCCCAGAGCACCTGCCTTGCAAAGACTTTGTTCTCATTGAGCTGCATTGGGAAGCCTGTGATTGGACAGCCCCAGAAAGTCTGGGCGGGTTTAGAAGGGGAGGGCTTGCAAAGGCAGCAGACAATAGAACTGCAGGTTTTACAAGCTGTTTTTAGATATATCCCCAATGAAAAAATGCATGATTAAAAACAAGCATGTTTTCATTGGACGTTACATATCTACTTAACCCCTTAAGTACAAAGGCAATTGTCCAAGTTCTGAACCAAAACAAAACCTAGAATTTGAGCTATATTTCTGTTCAACCATAATTTACCTCTTTCATATTAAGTGCATCCATACTTATTATATATCATGTTCAGGAGAAACAGGACTTTTATTTTACATTACATACAGTTGCAAGAAAAAGTATATGAACCCTTTGGAATGATATGGATTTCTGCACAAATTGGTCATAAAATGTGATCTGATCATCATCTAAGTCACAACAAGAGACAATCACAGTCTGCTTAACCCCTTATGGACCAAACTTCTGGAAAAAAAGGGAATCATGACATGTCACACATGTCATGTGTCCTTAAGGGGTTAAACTAATAACACACAAAGAATGAAATGTTGCCATGTTTTTATTGAACACCATTTAGCAGCCCAGAAGTGAAAATTACCCCCATCATGGCATACCATTTGCAATAATACACCCCAGGGTATTCAAAATGGACAATGTCCGTCTTTTTTAGTAGCCACTTAGTTACAAACCTTGGTGAAATTTTGTGTTTATATTTGTTTTCTGCACTGCGTTTCATCAATACATCCCTATGACAATCATCCGATTAGACAAAAGTCAAGACTTAATCAGAAGATTAATTGGGCTAAGGTGAAGGGATACTCCCAGCCCTGGAATAAAGGTACGTTTTATGGATATTACTGATAAACAATAGTGATGTCCCGAACGGTTCGCCGAACGGTTCGCCGAACGGTTCGCCGCGGACTCATCATTGAGTAAACTTTGACCCTGTACCTCACAGTCAGCAGACACATTCCAGCCAATCAGCAGCAGACCCTCCCTCCCAGACCCTCCCACCTCCTGGACAGCATCCATTTGAAGCTGCATTCTTAGTGAGCTGTCCAGGAGGTGGGAGGGTCTGGGAGGGAGGGTCTGCTGCAGATTGGCTGGAATGTGTCTGCTGACTGTGAGGTACAGGGTCAAAGTTTACTCAATGATGAGTCCGTGGCGAACCGTTCGTGGCGAACCACTCGCGAACCGTTCGGCGAACCGTTCGGGACATCACTAATAAACAACAGAAATCAGTAATCTAAATAAGTTAAATAATTCTTCAAATGAAAAATAAATATATTGTTGTGTTCCTTTGATGTTGTAAGAGCTGCTAAGTTCTCGAAAATAAAGATATAGCCAAGTGATCAGACATGCACATAAATAAGTCTATCGACTTCCTGTGAATTCAGGGCTGCGTCGATTGATTTATTTTATAGTTAAGAAACGTAAGGTCATTCCACTCATCTGAATGACAAATCTGATTTACAAATAGACTGGGAAGAGTGATGAATATTCTAAGACTGTAGTATCCACATTCAATTCAAAGAAAAATAGATGCATTTTAAATTAAATTAATACAAGTGTGGATTCTAATTACTGACGGCAGTGAAGATAAGAATGCGGATATCAATGAGTTTTTATTGTGGCTGCACTAAGAAGGTCAGAGGTCTGGAAATGGCCAATCATTATTCCTGTAGCCTAACTTCACTTTAAGGAGCTGCTGTTGAACCGACTGTAGCGGAGCGGCAATATTAAATCCCACGAACTCCGCTGGTAAAGAAGGTAATCCACAGTCAAGCGCTGAAAAGTAAGGCAATATTCCAAATCCCCCAGTAACCGGACGAAACACAGTTCTGGGAGTCAACTGAGGTTTTTATTCACAGCATCCAGTATTTATGCAAGTCCCCATGCAAGGGGTTTCCCTACTGACATAGCAGGAGTAACACAGTAGGGGACTACATGGGGGACTTAACATTCTGGGCATTTCTCCCATCAGGCACTGCTGCACGAGAGGGATACTCCCACTGGAATATACCATTAAGTGGATTATCCCTCCGTGCAACAGAACCGACAATTCACTTTTAAATATATAACTTTTTCGAATACTTGGCAGATTTAAACGAATGGACGTTTGGTAGATAGCTGGGGTCTGAGTGCACAGTTCGTGAGAATACCGCTCAGATCCCAGCTAAAACAACCGAATGCCGCACGAAACACAAACACACTTGCCATTGAGTTCGCCCCAAAGTACCGAACACCGATGGGGGAACCCTAATAGCGAAAGACCGGAGCTCCCGAATGGCCTGGAAGCCCAGCGGTGTTCACGCCCGCAATGGTGCTGTTCGTGAAACGAAACACATGAATGCTAGCGGCTTACGGCAGCTAGCATACAAATTCAATACAGCATATAATAACACACAGGATACAGCCAGGCAATACAAGAGTTACAGGAATAATACAGGCAATCTTTTTATATACATAGTCCAGATTATTACAAGTGGCTAGGTTTGCCACACCGACCTACCGAGACATACCTGGGCCAGTTATAGAGTAAAAATTAAAAGGGCAATTATGGTGATTTGGTTCTGGGTTGCAAGTATTTTTAGATCTATATCCCAACAAGTTGTTTGTACCAGAGGTCCTCTTACTCTAACATGGTAACTTACCAAAGTTTGATCTTTCAGGAATTCATAGAGATTTAAAAACTGAAGGCCAAAGTATAGCTGACTTGGGGAAATTTTCCAATTCTGCTATTCTGTACAAAATGACTATCTATGGAGAAACCATCAAGACTGCAGGTTCCTACATAAATCTTATCGTACAATGTTAAGCAGATGCTTATGACACCATCTGAGAAGAAACCTTTTCCTGCCTGTCCAGAACATTTGGAAGCTAGCCTGAGAATTGGAAGAACTAAATTGCAGCAACATTGTCGGGGGTTTCAAGGGGACATTCACTTATCTGGAATTTGCACCTTTCAATAAAACATAAAAAATTATAACAATGATTGACAGAGAGCTAAGATGCAGGTACCCAGTTCTAGGATAGAGTTTTGTGGATTTCTAAATGTAATTAGACCTTAATTACACCTCACAAATACATATTTGTTAAATATAGGGATAAATAAGCATAATATCTAGAATCCAGGTAATTGACAGTACCCCTTTAATAAAACCTGATTCACATATATCTATATTTAACATTTAACCTAGATGTGTTTAACCCCTTAAGGACACATGACATGTGTGACATGTCATGATTCCATTTTATTCCAGAAGTTTGGTCCTTAAGGGGTTAAATAGTCCTGAAATGTATAATGTAATATGATCATACGTTCAATGTACTGTGGGAATGAGTTGACGCAATTTTGTTGTAACAATAAAAAAATAAATTATACAAATCATTTTTTATTTAATCAATGCTTACTTACTTATGTCATAATCCTTAAATACTTACCAGGACATTCCACTGTCCACATGCATTCTTTTAATTATGATTTTTTTTTTTCACTGAGGGTATATCTAAAAACAGCTCGTAAAAGCTGCAGATCTCTTGTCGGCAGCCTTTGCAAAGCTAGACTTTCTATGGCTGTACAATCACAGTATTTCCCAGTGCAGCTCAATGAGAAGTCTTTGCAAGGCAGGTGCTCTGGGCAATTGCTGCCTCTTGAATTAAGCTCCACTGAGCTAACCAAACCAGGAAGTAACAGAATCGGTTGTCTGATTGACAGCCAGGGGGTGTAACAAGGTTAATTTATAAAAGTGACCATTTCTATTGAAATCTCCAGTTTTGTAAAATGACAAAGTGGCCAAACTCCTAAAGTGCTTTAGGTGTTTGGAACATCCCTTTAATAACTAATTGTGCAGCTATTGCCTCCATTTTCAACATTCACCATATTATGGTACTATTACCCCACATAATTTCTCCCTATCTTTTATCACATTGCCACGTGTATTTATTGCGCCATATGTTCTCACATGGCCCCTTATATGTGTAGTCATAGTTATCCCCATATTATCTCACACATTGTCACATTACCCAATATACAGAGACACACAACTTTGCGTACCTACCTCTCTCAAAGTTATTTACTTAAGTGTGATTTATCGTTTATGTAAAGTGGATTTCACATTTAAAGTTAAAGCATCTAAAATGACTTGGAGATATTTTCTGAGCTACTTTGGCCTTAACCTTTAACCCCTTAAGGACCAAACTTCTGGAATAAAAGGGAATCATGACGTCACACATGTCATGTGTCCTTAAGGGGTTAAATGCATTTTGAATTCTCAATAATCCATACTTTATTAAATAACTCTGACTGTGTATCACCACGTTTCCTGAACTAACTTTTCCTTATGATTATCCAACCCTTGTGAGTGGTTCATGGATAATAATAATAATTATATATTGGTAACAAAACATGGCTCTATAAAGTATTTTAGCTCTCATGTACACACATTACTGCCAATGAAAGGCACTGAGCTCACTGTCAGTTTGCAGAACGTTTGCCTAAACTGTCACCTCAACCAAATATGAAGGAAACTTTTCTAAGTTGGCCATTTGGGCCTCAATTTACAAGTACGTAGTCACCTGTCTGCAACTCGCCGTTTAAGTTAATAGTCCCCTTGGATGACAGCAGCGGCTGGATTGAGGTGATAGGCAGCTATACATTGTATTAAGGTCTTTATAAGGATATAGATGGCACTTCCTTGAAATCCACCATTTGCTCACACAGGCCTGACACTTTGATTTAAAGACATATTCCATTTTACATATTAACCACACATTAACCTTAGAACATATTAGTCAATAATATAGCTTTGCAGTCAGTACAAAGTGCACCCTTCATTAGTTTATTGATTTGGGATTTTAATAAAATAGGGAACTAAGTGATATTTACATAGCCTTAAATATTACCTGTGAGGGTCAGACGTGTTTAACTGTCACGTTAACCCATTCAGTAAATGTCTGAACAGTCTGTGCCATTTGAATGATTTAGGATTAATTAATAAAAAATATGCTGTAAGCACAGCAGGTTAAGTACAAATTAATGGACAGTGACATTTTCAGTGTCTGATGGCTTAATTAAATGGTTAAATAGGGGACACTAACAAGATAGATAGCACTAGTGGAATAGGGGGCCCTGTTTGAATAAAATGCAAATATAACAATGCCAACCTAAAACAAACTACCAAAGAAGGGATTGTGAGCAATGTTGTTTCTCTCTGGTGTAAATACTTCAAACTTTACTCACACTTCTTCTTCAGTATTTACTAACCCATTAAACCCCACTGCAATATTTCAGTAACATACTAATGCCAACATTCATTAGCAGGGTTCAATATATTAGGGGTACAAGTGGAGTTACTACTATAACAGGCTAATATATGGGCAGTAGTAAAGTAAGGGGGACTAATGGGAGCAAGAGACAATACAAGGGGAGAACTAACAAGGGTTAAAATAAGGAGGCTCTAGGTAAGAAAGGGGCACTAGAAGGATTACATGGGGGATTAATGAAATAAGAGGCACTAGCAGAGGTAATTAGGGGGCACTGATGGAGTAAGGGCAATGTCAGGATTAAATGGGGGGCTAAGGGAGTAAGGGGCACTAGCAGGGTTAAAATTGGGGCACTGAGGGAGAGGGACACTATTAGGGTTAAATGGGGGCACAGTTGGAGTAAGTGGCAATAGATGGGTTAAATAGGGGCACTATTTGAGTAAGAGACACTATAAGAGTTAAATGGGGGCACTTATAGAGAAGGGACACTATAAGGATTAAATAGGGGGCATTATTTGAGTAAGTGGTAGCCAAGGGTAAATAGGGGGCAGTGATTGAGTATGGGGCACTATAAGGGCTAAATAGGGGGCACTATTTTAATAAGGGGTAGCCAAGGGTAAATAGGAGGCAGTGGTTGAGTAAGGGGCACTATAAGGCTAAATAGGGGGCGCTATTTTAATAAGGGGTAGCCAAGGGTAAATAGGGGGCAGTTGTGGAGTAAGGGGCACTATAAGGGCTAAATAGGGGGCACTATTTTAATAAGGGGTAGCCAAGGGTAAATAGGGGGCAGTGGTTGAGTAAGGGGCACTATAAGGGCTAAATAGGTGACAGTAGTAGAAAAAAGGAAACTCGCAGAATAAACTAAGGGGACAATCATTTAGTAAGAGTGAAAAAACCCACTATCAGGGTTAAATAGAGGGAGCTAGTAAATGAAGGGACACTAGAGTGGTTAAAAAGGGGGGGGGGGGGTCAGTGTAGAAAGGAACACTACCTGGGTTAAACAGGGAACATTAGAGGAGTAGGTTAAATAGGGGGACACAGAGTCTATATATTATACTGTGTGTGTATATTGATTGATGACATTTGTATGATTTCTCCAATTAGGGAAATAAACTCCAATCGCACAGAAAGTTTGTTCTAATAAATAAATAATCAGATATTAAATGAAATCTGGTGCCCTATGGTGTGATGACAGTAATCCCTAAATTCCTAATTAAAGGTTAACTGATTATTAAAAGAAACTTTAATTTGTATCAAAGAGAAATGAATGCATTTAAACCGTGATTGCACAGAATAGGCTAAGATATAATAAATGCATAGATTAATAATTATAATATACACATCAATCGGTGACATGCAATTCAAATACTGCACTTTTTTTTGTTAATTACTGAATAGTTGTATTAATTAATTCAGAGATAATACTGTATGGAAATCTTTAACATCTTGGAAAATATCACAGATATCAGTTAGCATTATAAAATGATTCTATTATTTATTCTTGAGTAATTATTTTATAACGTTTTGGCTGAATTGTTTTTTTTCTGTGTTTTTGAATTCAGTTGATATATTTAAATATAAATAAAAAAAAATCACATGTAATCTATTTGTGATATGGAAAAATTAACACAAACCAAACTGCTAAAATCGACCTATTTTTAAACGGAAGAAGGATGCTGAGAGCTCTGAGAATAAAGGGTTAAAGTTTGCAATTTGTTTTGGTGTGTAATTGTTTTTGAATGCTTGTATATAACATACAATACAGATATAAAAGTATTATTAACAATGCAATAAAATATTAATGAATTTATAAACCATACTTTAGTAATATTAATAATATTATTTTATTACCAATGTTATTTTTCTTATAATTTCTAGCATCGTTCTATTTTGTAAATGCAAAGTTAAATAAATAAATAAATATATATATACACTGAATTTAGTTGTTTTTTTTCAAGTAACATGAAAGGGTCAGTAAGATATCAGCTCTATTATTACTATTAGCATAGTAATATAATATATAATATAATATATATAAATAATAATTATATATGTTTCAGATCCACTAGTTTATTACAGTGAAATAAATAATCAGTCTGACTGACATTTGTGCTCAGTATTTGTCACACCGATGACAAGTATACACTTTGTACAGGTGTGTGTTGTGTCTGAGTTCAGTAAAAGTAGTGTATATGTGTGCAATAGATACCTGAGTGTTTTTGTAGATATATTCCTATTTGATTATGTAACGTTTTTACATTATTATATGATTTTTAGTTATATGTGTGTTATACCATGTGGGTATATTAATGTATCCATTTATTAGCTGTTGCAAGGAGCTTTAGTAGGCAGTTTGGATTTATCGCTGTGTATGTAGTAATGTTTGTGTGTATGTATGTGTATGGTAATCAGGGAAGGTGTTGTAATGTGTTTGTACAGGGAAGGTATAGTAGTGTGTGTGTGTGTGTGTGTGTGTTTATATATATTCAGGGTAGGTGTACTAATGTGTGTGAAAGCCAGGCGGGGTAGTGTATGTGTACGGGACAGGTATAGTAATGAAGTACTGTAGTAATGTGTGTGTGCAGGAAATGTATAGTAGTCTGTGTATTCAAAGCAAGTGCAGTAATCTGTGTGAATGCCAGGTGTAGTAATGTGTGTGTGTGTGTGTGTGTGTGTATTGAAGTATAGTAATGTGTGTGCATATTCAGGGCAGGTGTAGTAATGTATGTGTGTGTGTGTGTGTATATTCAGAGCAGCTGTAGTAATGTGTGTGTGTGCGTTGAGGTATAGTAATGTGTTTGTGTGTGTGTGTTGAGGTATAGTAATGTGTGTGTGTGTGTGTTGAGGTATAGTAGTGTGTGTGTGTGTTTTCTGAGTTATAGTAACGTGTGTATATTCAGGGCAGGTGTAGTAATATGTGTGTGTGTTCAGGTGTAGTAGGGTGAGTGCAAGTAAATTTAGGACAGGTGTAGTAATGTGTGTGTGTGTGTGCTCTGGGCAGGTGTAGTAATGTGTGTTTGTTCAGATGTAGTTAAGTGTGTGTATGTCCAGGACAAGTGTAGTAAAGTGTGTATGTATATTTTGGGCAGTTGTAGTAAATTGTTTGTTTCTGTTTGTGTGGTCAGGGCAGGTGTAGTAATGTGTGTGTGTGTGTGTTCAGGGCAGGTGTAGTAATGTGTGTGTGTGTTCAGGGCAGGTGTAGTAATGTGTGGGTTTGTGTGTTCAGGGCAGGTGTAGTAATGTGTGTGTGTCTGTGTTCAGGGCAGGTGTAGTAATGTGTGTGTTTGTGTGGTCAGGGCAGGTGTAGTAATGTGTGTGTTTCTGTTTTCAGGGCAGGTGTAGTACAGTGTGTGTATGTTCAGGGCAGGTGTAGTAATGTGTGTTTAGGGCAGGTATATGATTGTATGTGAGTGTGTGTGCAGAACAGGTATAGTAATGTATGTGTGTGAACACAGGGCTGGTATAGCCAGGTGACCTTGCAGATTAGGATTTTCACTGTGTGTGCAGGACAGCACTCTAGACAACATGAAACCATCACTACTTTATATGAGATCCTGTGCTTAATTCCCAATTCTAAACAGCAGGACACAGCTACCCTCACTGCGATTCAATAATCCCGCTTTAATCAGTGAGTCAAGAACTTAATGCTGATTTCACAGACTCCCCTGGATTATCGACCATTTCAAATGAAAAAGAAATCAGATACAATTACATTTACATCACTCGGCTTAAAAAATGTCAAATAATATAAAATATACAGATATCTACTCTGCTAGGTAAATGTAACAGACAACAGAACTGATTAAAAAAAACCCATCTGATACAATGTCTTTAATAAAATGTGTTTACAGCATTTTTATAATTAAACTGCTAATTATATATATAGAGATATATCTAGTTATCATTATAGAAAAAATGAAATCAGAATAATTATACATAGATGAATTTTGATAATTGTATAGCGATATATCAGGTAATAATTTTTAACAAAAATTTAATAAAAATGCACTAAAAACGAAACGGGTTTTTAGTTAATTCTTTTTTTTTTTTTTCAGAGATGCTGTGCGTTTGGGGTAAATCTTAGAAATTTTCAAGTCTACAAAACTTGCTCCTTACTGAAAAAAATGTACGCATATATAAAACAAAATATAATATGTAAATATGTGCAACATGTGACACATACTTTATAAATAAATATATAATATATAAATATGTGTCCTTAGAAATAAAATGTGTTGGTTTCTCTTAATAGTCTTGCTCTGTTTTTCAAAGCACAGAACGTTTTAATTTATATTTGTTTTCCAGAATATTTAAAGTATTATATTATATTAATTAAATTATTATATTATATATTATATTATATTATTTGTTACATAGTGTAATTTGTGATACCATCATTCATTTTATTATTAATTACATTTTATGTTAGATTCACCCAAATGCATGTTATGAAATAACATTTAATTCTAAGACATTCGGTGGAATATTATTCTAATATTTGGAATTTTGTTAAATATATTAACTTTAAATCATAATAAATTTCACCCACTGCAGTATTCCATGTACAATTTTTTTTTTTTTTTTTTAATAACTAATAATAATTACAAAGATTTTCCATAATATCAGGTTATGTTAGCACACAATGTTACACTTCGCACAAAATACTATTGGACACAGTTTTATAACAGAGTTTTATTGGTAGCAGTATCCCTATAAAATACATAGACACGAACAGAAATTGAATTGTGATGATTATTATACACTTATATAATAAGATAGTAAGCTAATGGTAAAATAAAACATTTCTAAGTAAGATCATTGTATACAGCTGGACACTTTGCTACAAATGACACACCCAGTCCTGCAGGTAAGAGTTTTCCCCAGGCATTGTGGCGTGGCTAAAGGAGTAGTACGTACCATGATGCAGGACATGACAGAGCAGGTAGGGTTGGGAGATGCAGGTGTCTGAGAGCTTTGTGCATTGTGTGTGTGGGAGTGTGCCGGATACAGTTCATTTATAGGCGTTTTCCAGTCATTAAATTCTCGTTAGTCTGTTTCTTTTCACGGTGTGACATGTTGGGCTGCAGACTGACGCCTGGAGGGTTTCAGATTGGGAGCTAATTATCAGATTATATCCTTGTCACCCCAGCAGGTCATCCAGCCTGGCTCTGTCTGTCTATCTATCTCTACCAGAGCTCTGTCTGTCTGTGTGTCTGTCTGTCTCTGCAAGGATTCTGTCTGTCTCTCTGTCTCTCTGTCTATCTCTACCAGAACTCTGTCTGTGTGTCTGTCTGTCTCTGCAAGAATTCTGTCTGTTTGGCTCTGTCTGCCTTTTCTGCCTGGACTCTGTCCGACTGTCTCTGCCAGTGATCTGCCTGTCTGTCTTTGTCAGGGTTCTGTCTGTCTGCCTGTCGCTGCTAAAAACGTGCCTGTCTCTCTCTGCCAGGGCTCTGTCTGTTTGTCTGTCTTTGCCAGTGATCTGACTGTCAGTCTCTTTGTCTATGTCAGGGCTCTGTCTGTCTCTGCCAAGGCTCTGTCTGCCTGTCTCTGCCAGTGTTCTGCTTGTCTGTCTCTGTCAGGACTATTTGTGCCTGTCTCTGCCAAGGCTCTGTCTGTCTGCCTGTCTCTGCTAAGGCCTTTCCTGTCTCTCTCTGTCTACCTCTGCCAGGTCTCTGGCTACATCTCTGTCCCTGCCAGGGCTCGGTCTGTCTGTCTGTCTGTCTGTCTTTGTCTACATCTGCCAGGGCTGTGCATTCCTTTAATTCCCAGACAAATCCTGTGAATTGTAGTCTTAAGGTGTTGGAGGGATCTATGCCCTGTGCTCAGTATTTATCATGCAAGGCTGCTAGGATCAGAGTCAGAGCTGACACCAGTTCTATAAAAGAGTTCTGTATGAAAACGTTCAGTGATCTTTGGGATGGACATGAAACTGATCAGATTTCTATCTCCTGAGTCCTGACTCTTCTTTGGTAACATTCATGGCAACAATTTCAGAGTAGCAGCACTGTTTCTGTCTAAGGATCTGCATATCCATTTACTGAACCACCTGTCTGTATCCACTGCATATAAATGTCTGTATATAGTATATATATGTCAAGGAGCCTTTGGAAAATCAGCAAAATCTCAATGTATTCTCCCTGGTAAAACACTATTACAAATAATATAATTATAATATAATCTGATATAATATAACAACACACGTTCTCTTGATTTATTTATTTTTTACTAGAATTTTCCTTTTTCACTGTCACCTATTATAGTTGTTGATGCATTGTCGTTTAGATCCTAATATTGCCCCATATTATGCTCCCACCTACCCCTTCCCTGTATCTAGGAGCACACAGCGTGCACTGTGGGTAGATAGAGGTGGGATATGGGTGCTCCACGGTACTTCGAAAGACTGTAGAAAGGAACGAGATGACCTTCATAACGCAGCTCATTGCCAAGAAGGTGGTACTCTGTGCACCGACCACCCGCCTGTCACCTCCGCGGAGCAGACCCCCCCACCTTACTTAGCATGCTATAATTTAAAATAGGTGTACATTAGCACACAGATCATGTTTCCAAATTCTTCACTGCGCGGTTGGTGACATCGCACTATCAGGCCATTAAAATGTGTAACGTACAGTGTCACTGACACTCTGCGGAACGAGGTTCCTAACGAAGGCCTTGATTTAATAAGCTTTCCAAATGATTCAACACTGTTAGAAAAACTATACAAAAGACGCATCTACAAAAATTTCCAGAGGCTTTAACCATGACCCGTGTAAATAAATAATTTGGAATCACTTGGAAAGCTCATTAAATGGAGGCTGATATGTTAGAGAGGAGCTGGGGGAAGAGGATCTCTCCTGCTACTCTCCCGGCATTTCGCTGTAGAGAGACGGGACTGAATAAAGGATAGCACAGAGCACATACCCCACATATAGCAGCTGCGTAGGAGAGTAACTTCCATCAATATCAGGCAAACCCGTAAGATTAAAGGAACCCTAACTCTGAAAAAATAATAAATCTAAACTCATTTGACAAGATATCTATATATTCCATCCCTGACTCATATTTTTTGTAACGACTTGGCATCGGAGATTATATTTACATACGTGATTGTACATTTATCGCAAGCAGCCTGGATTACAATGATGGGATAACAGCGACGAAAAGCAGCGTTTCCCTCTTTGCACCATAAGTACTGAAGTACTGGAGTCCGTGATGCAATGACTTCTGGGTTTTGGGACTTGCTGTCATGTTTGTACATTATTTTATTCATAGAAAGTAGCATCGCTCACTTCCAGGTTCGGTTATACATCATTGCTAGTCCTGAACAAACTGGAGTTTTGGAGTAATTCAAGGAACTTAAAATGTGAGTATCTTTTTTTCCATATTTTTTCAATTTTATTATTTGCATTCTTATTGTTTTTGCATTTATTTTAATGTACAATCATTCTATCGCACTAAAAAGACATGAGCCTATTTCAGCTTACGATGTTCTATTGTAAGGTTACTCCAAGCCCCAGGATCACTTCAGTGGCTAATGTCAATTCTGTGCATATTGGACATCTGTTGTTAGCTTGCTGGTGACAGGCTGGGTAATGGCTTTCAGGTCATGTGTTGTGGCAAAATGGCTATAGGGAGATGTGTTGAGGGAAGAGAAATTAAAGTGTGGTTGTCACTTAAGAGGCTGGAGCTTCGGTGGGCATGGCAGCACATGGTTGGATTCAATATATTTACTCAGAATTTAGTAAGTATTTTGTTTTCAACATAGTGGCACACCTAACCAAGTGGTCAGTTAAAGCATTTGCAATACAAAGATTTGCGTGTATTTTTCCCCCAAAGTGTACATTTTCTGTAACTCAATATGAATTTCAAATTGTAAGCCAACATAGCAAAACTAAAAATATAAGTTTTTTTTATTTTTATTTTTAGTAATTCTGCTGTGTTGGTCTACAATTCATTTAGAGGTCCAAACAAGTCACACTTAGTGAATAACCCTGATAAAGTGCAGAAGGTTTTTGGTTTTTAAATTAATTTACATTTTTTTTACTGTTAGTATGTTGAGAATTGTTACTGGGTTATAGTTAGTTTCACATAGATTCCATAATTCAGCTGCTTTGGTAGATTGTTGTTTATAGTCCTTAGAATGTTGAGGTTTGGAGAGTTTAGTTTGTTAGTCAGACAATATGTGTGAACAAAACTGATTGATGATCTGGTATCCCAATACAGCTTACTATCACCCATCATGGGATGGGACCAATAAGAGATGTGAGTCCTTTGGTCTAACCTTTCGTACATGGACATAGATATCACAAACCTGTTTTAATGTCAGTAGGATATGTTGCATCTCATTGCTGTGTGAGCTGCATACATGTTGAGACAGGGCCAGATTAAGATCCCAGTGGGCCTGGTGCTGACAATTATGAGGGGCCTAAGTACAGAATCTTATAGACCAAAAACACTAAAACAGTCATACCTCTCAATCGTTATGTATCTTAAAATATCTTAATCTCTCTCTAAATCATGCTTTCATCTTTCAAGTAAACCCATACTCCCTAACAGCAGTGTCCATGGAAGCAGGAAGTCAATGGGCGGTGTAAAAAGGTGGGCCACTGACGCGGATCATGTAACCAGAACTTCCAAAAGGGACGTACATGACCAAAAAGGAGGCGTGTCTGCCCCCAAAAATTGGAAGGCTAGTCTGGCATGAATGCATGTCAGACTGCCTGCCAATCATGCATGCTGGCCAACAGCATCCTAAGCTCGGCATAAATGCGTCTAATGATGCGCTTGCTCCATGCTTTCTAAGGACTGTCCCCTAGCACTCACATGTCCACTTGTCTCCTTACATTCTTACTAGCAGGCAGAAGCTCCTGGTATACAGTCTGAGACAGAGAAAAGGTGGATGTAGTGAGTGTAGAAGAAAAGTAACATGCCACAGTGTTGGAGAGACCAAGGTCAGTATTGCCTAAACTAATTTCATTTCAGCTAGTCCACACAAGTTTTGTTTCCATATATCCTCTTAAGTTTCCATACTTAAGCAAGAGTATTTGAAGAGTAGTTAGGGTTGCCACCTTTCTTGGAAAAAAATACAGGCCTTACTAATTTGCGTAACTAATTATGTATGTGTGTCATCACATGATGTAAATCACAAGAAGCGACATAAGAGAAAATTCTGTAAAATCACCAAAAAACTACTTAGTTTTATTCTGCTGTATAGATGGATTGCTCCCAGTATCTCACTGTCTCCCAGTGTCCCCTAGTGTCTGTGTCCCCATGTCTTCTAGTGTCCCCATGTCACTAGGGGACACTGAGAGACATGGGGACACTGAGACACTTGGGAACACTGGGAGACTTGGGGACATTGGGACTATGTATCACAGTGTCCCTATGTATCACAGTGTGTCAGTGCCCCATGCCTCCCAGTGTCCCCATGACTCTGTGTCCCCATGTTGCCCAGTGTCATCTAGTGTCTGTGTCCCCATGTCTCCCAGTGTCCCCAGTGTCTGCTTGTAGTATGCGATGGTTGGATGCAAAATGCTCCCTGACAGTTGGATCTTTCTGGGGTGAGTGCTGGATTCAATGTAGTTTACATGTTGATACATGTTGATCTTCCAGTTGAAGGATGCAGATTGCAACCTGGTAGTTGGATCGTCTTGGGATGTCTATGGGAATTATATACTGATAGTAGGAGCTCCCTGATGTGTGTTCTGGATGCGAAAGATTACACAATAACTGTTGGTGCTACCTGTGTTGTCTACTATCTGGACCTTGTGTACATGCTGACAGTTGGTTCTCCCTGATGTGCTTATCAGTTGATGGATTTAGATTATATTCTGACAATTGGAGATGTGTGAGGGAGGGATGTAGATTACATGCTAACAATAAAATCTTTCTGGAGTGTATGTTGATGATTGAATGTAGATTGCCTGCTCACAGTTGGAGTTCCCTGGATTATGCACTGGATGGATGCGGATTACCCCCTGTGAGTTGGAGCTCCCTGGCGTATGGCAGTTGGGGTTCCCTGGAATATGGCAGTTGGAGCTCCTTTCCGTATGGCAGTTGGAGCTCCCTGTTGTATGGCAGTTGGAGCTCCCTGGTGTATGGCAGTTGGAGTTCCCTGGAATATGGCAGTTGGAGCTCCCTGGGGTATGACAGTTGGAGCTCCATGGAGTATGGCAGTTGGGGTTCCCTGGAGTATGGCAGTTGGAGCTCCTTGCCGTATGGCAGTTGGAGCTCCCTGGTGTATGGCAATTGGAGTTCCCTGGGGATATGGCAGTTGGAGGTTACTGGGGATAGAGCAGTTTGAGTTCCCTGGGGATATAGCAGTTTGAGTTCCCTGGGGATATAGCAGTTTGAGTTCCCTGGGGATATAGCAGTTTGAGTTCTCTGGGGATATGGCAGTTTGAGTTCTCTGGGGATATGGCAGTTTGAGTTCAATGTGGATATGGCAGTTTGAGTTCAATGTGGATATGGCAGTTTGAGTTCAATGTGGATATGGCAGTTGGAGTTCCCTGTGGATATGGCAGTTGGAGTTTCATGGGAATATGGCAGTTGGAGCTCCCTAGTGTATGGCAATTGGAGTTCCCTGGGGATATGGCAGTTTGAGTTCCCAGTGAATATGGCAGTTTGAGTTCCCAGTGGATATGGCAGTTTGAGTTCCCAGTGGATATGGCAGTTGGAGTTCCCAGTAGATATGGCAGTTGGAGTTCCCTGTGGATATGGCAGTTGGAGCTCCCTGGTGTATGGCAATTGGAGTTCCCTGGGGATATGGCAGTTGTAGGTTACTGGGGATAGAGCAGTTTGAGTTTCCTGGAGATATGACAGTTGGAGTTCCCTGGGGATATAGCAGTTTGAGTTCCCTGGGGATATAGCAGTTTGAGTTCCCTGGGGATATAGCAGTTTGAGTTCCCTGGGGATATGGCAGTTTGAGTTCCCAGTGGATATGGCAGTTTGAGTTCCCAGTGGATATGGCAGTTGAAGTTTCCTGGGGATATGGCTGTTGGAGTTCCCTGGGGATATCGCAGTTGGAGTTTCTTGGGGATATGGCAGTTGGAGTTTCCTGGAGTATGTATTGGATGGGTTGAGATTACACCATGACAGTTCAATCTCTTTGAAGATAATAGGGCAATTTATGAAACCAGGAGAACACACTTAGAATACTCTAGTTTTTAAACAAGTTCTGGGGATAAATGTTATTATAACATAAGTCAATGATACTTTACTTTTTTTAAATGTATAAACAATAGCACCAGCTAAGTCTAGCTTCCCTCTGGAGAAACATTTGATTAAATGTAATAGTATAATCACTGGATCTGTTCATCTGTGGCAGGAAGGCTGTGATTATATGTCTATTCTCTGTTTAGGTGAATTTTAGGTTAAGGGATTTACTGCTGTAAACTACGACTTATTTCTTAATTCTTTGATAAACCTGCTAAGACATTTTAAGTACAAATAAAACATACAGAGGATAATTGCTCTAGAAGTCATACAAGTTCTGACTGTTTTGTTTACACATAAAACCATTATAAATGATATGAAGGAAGACCGCATGCTGCGAATCTTTTAGAAACTTATCTGATTAGCTTACTCTTTGTTTTGTATATTTTAGGATTGTCCCTGACAGAGTCTTTTAGTTCAGTTCAGTTTTTCTTTAACCATATTAAGTGAAAATGTTTGGCTTCTGTCAAATCAGATGCGCAAGAGGTTCCATTTTTCATTTTAATCGATCGGTTTGTATTTAATTATTTTCTTAGCAAGTTTTGTTACCTTGTATTATTATTATTATTATTTTATTATTTATATAGCGCCAGCAAGTTCCGTAGCACTGTACAATGGGGTTCTACGGTGACCGCGGTATTAAAGAAAAGAAAATACTTTCTGCTCAAAATTAACCTAACGACAAAATAAGCTTTGTGTCATTCAATATCTATTCTCCTGTTAATACTATAGCCTTACTAGTACAAATCATGACACTAGATAATCGCCAGGAGATGTTTCATGGAAATGTAGCTTCCATGTTCAACAACTAACTACTTTGATGTGTCCCTAGGAAACTGCATCAATAACTGAAGGGAGTGAGGAGATCTTTGGATTTATGGTTCTGTTTGACTCTTTCCAACATCAAAAGGACTCAAATAGTAAAGTGTTACCATGTCAGCAGCATGTACACCAGCTTCTCCACCTATATTAAATAGTTCTACCCCAGCTAAATCTCCACCACCTGCGTCTACGACAGCTAGGTCAACATTTTTTGCCCATTACTACCAGCCTTCACTCCACCAACTACAGACTCAAGTTCCCTAGCACCATGTACACTAGGATCCCTATTGCTGTGAGTTTAAGCACCTTCAGTTACTTTAAAGGTAACTTCCCTAAGTATTCCTAATTGCCCACTCATTAATTGCCCATTAGCCCCATGTAGCAGACTCTAGATGTAGCTTTGCTGAGTTAGATGAGAGGTAGCGGTGTGTGTTTCCATAAACGTGTTGAATTTTCATGCTTGGAATTTTATCACTCTATTTCCTTTTGATGACAGAGTCCTTTATATGAAAACATGTTACATAATGCGGATTGTTAATGCAGCTCTGCCCCCCCTCCCCCCATCCCCCCTCAAGTCCCAAAAATGAAATCTTTTAGCAATACCCATTAAGACTGTATTGGAATTTCTTTGAAATGTTAATGCAGTCAAAAGATATCTTAAGACAAATTAGGGACTACTTCGTCTTATGATAAATACCCAAACTTCATCACTTCCCACAGCCGTCATTAACTCATCACAAGATATCTACAAAGGTTCCCATGGTCTTGCTGGATCCTCTATAGACATCAATGTTGGGCTCTTGTGCATGTGCAAGAGCAAACCACTGATGTGGGCTCCTAGAGGATAAAGCGCCAGGAACTGAAGATCGAACATGGCAAAGCCATTGGGGGATAGCATAAGGTTAAGTATAATTCAACTTCGCTGCCCCATATGTCACCGTAATTAAATTCTGCCAAAATAATGAGAAATTAAACACATATATATTTGAAGGTGAGCACCAATGGCCTGGTTTGTCCAGCATACATGCTCACCTTCTAATAAATATAGTGAGGGAAAAAAGTATTTGATCCCCTACTGATTTTGAAAGTTTGTCCACTGACAAATAAATGATCAGTCTATAATTTTAATGGTAGGTGTATTTTAACAGTGAGAGACAGAATATTAAAAAAAAAATCCAGAAATAAATATTTGATCACCTATCAATCAGCAAGATGTCTGGCTCCCAGGTGAGATTGTAGACCTACACAAGGCTGGAATGGGCTACAGCACCATCGCCAAGCAGCTTGGTGAGAAGGTAACAACCGTTGGTGCGATTATTCACAAATTGAAGAATCAGAAAATAATTGTCAGTCTCCCTCGTCTGGTGCTCCATGCAAGATCTCACTTTGTGGAGTTTCAATGCTCATGAGAATGGTGAGGAATCAGCCCAGAACTACATGGGAGGATCTTGTTAATGATCTCAGAGCAGCTGGGACCATAGTAACAAAGAAAACAATTGGTAACACACTACGACGTAAAGGACTGAAATCCTGCAGCGCCCGCCCGGTCCCCTTTCTCAAGAAAGCACAAGTACAGGCCCGTCTATAGTTTGCCAATGAACATCTGAATGATTCAGAGGAGAACTGGGTGAAAGTGTTGTGGTCAGATGAGACCAAAATTAAGCTATTTGGTATCAACTCATCTCGCCATGTTTGGAGGGGGAGGAATGCTGCCTATGGCCCCAATAACACCATCCTCACTGTCAATCATGGAGGTGGAAACATTATGTTTTGGGATGTTTTTCTGCTGAGGGGACAGGACAACTTCCCCGCATCAAAGGGACGATGGACGGGGACATGTAACATCAAATATTGGGTGAAAACCTCCTTTACTCAGCCAGGGCATTGAAAATGGATTGTGGATGGGTATTTCCAATTACCCAAAACATATCACTGTGGCAACAAAGGAGTGGCTCAAGAAGTAGTGGCCTAGCCAGTCTCCAGACCTAATCCTATAGAAAATCTCTGGAGGGAGCTGAAGGTTCGAGTTGCCAAACGTCAGCCTCGAAACCTTAATGACTTGGAGAGGATCTGCAAAGAGGAGTGGGACAAAATCCCTTCTGAGATGTGTGCAAACCTGGTGGCCAGCTACAAGAAACATGATTGCCAACAAGGGTTTTGCCACCAAGTACCAAGTAATGAGTGAAATAAATACTTATTTCCCTCATTGACATGAAAATCAATTTATAAGTTTTTGACATGCATTTTTCTGGATTTTTTTGTTTTTTTGTTATTCTGTCTCTCACTGTTAAAAAAAATGCCTACCATTAAAATTATATACTGATCATTTCTTTGTCAGTGGGCAAATATTTAAAATCAGCAGGGGATCAAATACTTTTTTCCCTCACTGTATGATACTACAGGACCATTTGGGGAGTAGTGGCCTGAAACTTACCTGCTTACTCCATTTAAAAAATAATTAGCATACATGAAACATCCATTTATATTTTCTGAAGAGCCTGCAAATAAAAAAACTTATTATATATATATATATATATATATATATATATATATATATATATATATGCTAAAATAACCTTAATTCAAGCCATGTGCGTGCATTAATGTCATTGATGTAAATGGCCGTGCCTGGTAAGGCCACAGATTTACTGTCCTGGAGCCCTGAATTCATTAAAGTTCCACTTTACACCCATAAAGCACTTCAGCTGGGATCATATAGCACGGGAACAAGAGTGGTTCTATGCCATAGGCTACAGAACCTGCTTTAATGCTGCCATTATATTTATTGTATGCCATAATACAGCCACATAAGGAATGGTTCCTCCTTTCTTCTCACATTTTGGAACAATACAATCCCAGCTTTACCTGTATATTCCCAGGGCTCCAATTTGGTGGGATTACATGAGGACATTATTTCACCACTATATATGGAGAGGGGGCAGCATTCCGTCAGGATGTGGGCTTGCTGTGACTTTACTGTGATCACAAGGGGGTTTAGTGCTGTCATGGCACAGAGTTCCCCTCCACTCACTTGGAAACTTCCCAGAATCCAGAGGGAAAAGGGACCACTTACTGACTCCCACTCACACCATGGCAAAGAAACATTTTGACTACTTACCTTTCAGGATTCCAGGGCACTCGTAGTACCATAGCTACTACAGTGGACTGTAGTGGTTATGGTGCTTGTGATATTCATTTAATTTTACACCAGGAGGTCTCTTTTACTAGTGGAATGACACTGGGGTGGCTTTGAAGTTCATGCACTCATGTATTTTAGGAATTGACAATGCATGAACAATTAAACCCAAAAATCAATTTTTCTATGCATAATTTAAGCATTTTAGGTTATTCTGCACATCAAGTTCATATTTTAGCAACACATACTGTTTTAAAATAAATATTAATCTCTATTTACAATGGCACCAGAATTATCTATTGTAAAGCCTTGCGGAATCTGTTGACGCTATATAAATGGCAATAATAATAATAATAATAATCTATGTGTGAATGGGTTATTAAAATGTGCACCTCCTAAAATATATATATATTTAATATGAAGAAATGGATAATAAAACAGATGTTCTTCTAAATATATGTATTTATATGGGAATAGCTGATCAAATGATACAAATGTTGGAGAAAATATGGTTTAAAAACTTTGTGTCCATCCCCCTTTAAATCTTCGCCATCCAAAAGTAGTTTGACCACTTCTATTCAATCTGCTGAGTTCCGACACATAATGATACAATACATCCTTTCTACAAACAAATACATTGCTCATAGCGACTAGTCTGGCCTGTGTGATCGATCACCGCTACTCTTTAATGTGTACACAGAACTTCATAGATCTGGCATAAGTCGTTCCGGAAACTCAAAACAGTGCAATACGGACATGGAATTTGACACATCACCATATAATATGTGCCAACCTGCTCCTCCTATTGATAGACCTCATATCACATGGGGCAAATATTGAAACACAGATACACTAACAGAGAGGTGAAGGACACAACAGGGCATCACCAACTAAGTTGACCTGACAAACTGTTTGCATTTATCTTGAATACTCTGTTCACTGTTTGCCTTTCATTCTCATAGAACTCTTTTTGCACTGATTAGATAATTCTGAAATAATAATCAATAACATGTAGTATCAGTGGATCTCACACAATTACTTTAACATAAATCTCATCAACTATAACAATAGTTCTGCAGATTCGAGTGGACATTAATGTTTTTTTTATTTTTTTTATTACGTAAAATAAAAAATAATTAAGACAAAAACATTCTACACGCTCGTTACTTCTATTTGAAACAAAATTATTGAGAAGTTACTTTTACCTTTTTTTAGTAAAAAAATAACCAAACTAATGAAATTGTTGTAAAATAAATAAACGTTTTTACATTTACAAATAAATGGCTTTATGTACATAATATGTATAGTATTCGAGTTATATTATGTGATATGTGTTTTTGTATTGAAAAAAATGCTTTAGACTTGATAAACGAAGGCGCTTCCAAATGCTCGTTCCTACAAATTTCTGTTAGTGCAGTAAAAAGGGTATTAAAAGATAACGCAAGACTTCATAATTTTGCATCTGTATTGAACATTTGTTAACAAGTGTAAATTGTGTGATTTTACATGGGAAACCAAACAAAATTGTATATTTTGAAGGCTGAAAACTTTCTAAATACGATAATCCTAAAAAACGGTTTAGAATTAGCAAATATATTTATTCGAATTGCTTTGCGGTATTTAAAGTATTTTTTTTCTTTTATCTCAAATTAAACAACAAATGCATCATAAAAAAGATAAAAATTTCTTTTTTTTGCAGATTTAATAAACTTTTAATAAATACGCCTAAAAATAACAACAAAATAAATACTGCTAAATAAACTGCTCAGTTTAGTGTCCTGTTATACGACTTCTTATTAGAATTATTTGTGAAACATTGTAAAATTTAAATTGTGGTAACTTTCATATTTTATTTTTTTATGAGATCATTTTGGTTTATACGTAGAACAATCTTTCAGATTGAGACAATCATTTCTTACAAGTACATGTTGTTTACTGTTTAATCAAAATGTGTTCTACGTTTGTTGTGAATGCACTAAGCTCATTTATTCAATAAATGCTGAATTACTGTAGTTAAGAACGGATGTGCAACATAGTTAAAAAAAAATAAAATCTAAAATATCCAACACCTCATTTTTGACCTTTATTTTCCAAATCAATTTTTAATTCTGGTAATTGTTAATTAACTTCAGGAGATGAATGTGCCTGTCCCAAACTGCACCATTTCTTCTGTTATAACCTCACATTTCCACGCAAATAAAATTTCTTTCTATAAATAAAACACTTTTACAAGGATAGAAAATTTTGCCAATATTTTAAAAATGGCGAGTACAGCCACATATGCCATATGCTTGTTCATTTGACTTCAAGAAAATGCAAATCACTTAAATGTGCCAAATTTTAATCCTGTTGCCACATTGAAAAAAAAACAATTTTAGACTCGCTCCTATTTTATTGGCAAGAATGGTGTGTTGGGTTTTTTGTGTGTTTGTGATGACTTATGTTAAAGTTGTCATGTCAGTGATTGTGAGTCTTTGCATTTGTACAATTTTACATTAAAAAAAAATCTAAATACATTTGTAATTAAGTTTTGTGTTTTGTTTTTTTCTCAACAGAATAACATGGAAAGTAAAATAAAAAAGGGCGGATAGTGTGTAGTAATTTCAAATGAGGAATGGACTAAGCACAGGTTAAAATGCTATGTGTTTAAAAAAATATTCTTATGAATTGCTATTAAATAAAAATCCACATATTGAAAATTGAATCACAACCTAACAACAACAAGGAAAAATGTATCTTGGCTACAACAGTCAAATCTCATATAAACCCTTTCTGTGTGTACAAGGCTTACAAAAACTTTGTCTTTGCTGCTAAAGAAAGGGTAAATGCATTTGCCCAGTATGTTACATCAGATGCTAAAGTAAAAGGTTTGATGTTTTGTGTTGTATAAGCTCCATAGCAGGGAAGCAGGAAGGGATTTATAACGACGGAGTGCAATGTGTCAAACCTTAGTCCATATCTCTCAATATTAACTCTTCTTGATCAGGAGATACTCTTTCTTGTCTGAATTTTGTTTGCACTTCTGACGCATTTTACATTAAGCTGTGTATATGTAACTTTTAATATCCTCTGCTATCCCACCCTTAAAGCTTCCCATTCTTTTAAATTGTAAGCCCGCTTAGGCAGGGCCCTCTACTCCTGCTGTTCCTGTATATCAAACATGTTAGAACCATTTGTATTGTTTACATATTGTGCAGTATGTTGGCATTATGAATGTAGATAATCGTAGCAATGCTGTCATTTTTGAGAGTTGTGCAATTTTTGATAGCTGTCAGCTGTTTTATTTACTAATTTATCTCAAATGCCTGGCTTTCCTTCTGTAGCCAGAATACGCCATGTTAATTAATTTGACGCGGCGTGTGTGCGTGACTGGCATAACCGATGTAATGCGTGAATTTACAAGCACTCAGCGCGATTCTGTAAACACATTTAAAGCATCGTGGGGCAATGATGTTGACTGAAATGTGTTGGAGATAAGTACTTTTTGACTTACCTCCACTACACTATTTACCCCAGTAAATATATCAGTAATGTTTAATGTAATGAGGGAATAAGGAACCATTTTAATTTTGCAATATAGAAGTGGACACAAAACATAGAAACATAGAATGTGATGGCAGATAACAACGATTCGGCCCTTCTAGTCTGCCCAATTTTCTAAATACTTTCATCAGTCCCTGGCCTTTTCTTATAGTTAGGATAGCCTTACGCATATCCCATGCATGTTTAAACTCCTTCACAGTGTTAACCTCTACCACTTCAGCTGGAAGGCTATTCCATGCATCCACTACCCTCTCAGTAAAGTAATACTTTCTGAAATTATTTTTAAACCTTTTCCCCTCTAATTTAAGACTATTTCCTCTTGTTGTGGTAGTTTTTCTTCTTTTAAATATACGGTAATCCTTTACTGTGTTGATTCCATTTATACATTTAAATGTTTCTGTCTTGTCTTTCCTCCAAGCTATACATGTATTGTAAGTAAACAATACAAACACAAATGTTTAATAAATACTATTTTCTTTCACCAATCGTTTTTCCTGCTTACCCGTTACCCCATACTTTGCCTGCTTTTTAATCATCATCTACAGAGCAGCTCATTCAAAAGTGACTTGTGGTGAGATAAACAATGCAAAAGACCAACTTTCCAAAAATCTACAAACGGCAAACGTTTTTATTTTTAGAAAATCATATTTATGGTAATACACATGAAACTGCATAACTTTACCATACTGAACGCATTACTAAACTATTTAAAAATATCTATACCTTTCAATAATAATTATATATAGTCCTGCAGCAATACTATACATGTTTGCAAAAACAAATGCAATATTTAAAATGATATAATTACAGAAAACATAACTTAAACACATAGCATGTGCTTACCCGAACACATATGTACCTAAACAATAATTCACTACTGTTTCAACAAAAGTAAACGTCAATAATATAATTAAAAATTTATTGTTATGGCATAAAAAAGTTGGCAATCTTTTAGATTGTTTTTTATTTATTAAAAAAATATTTCTATTTAAGGAATAGGTGATTTTGGTCTTAACAATTTTAATTCTATTATAACTTAGATTAAGTTATTAAACTGTTTTATGAATCCAACGTTAAAAATTACAAGACCAAAAAAATAAAGGCTACACTGGACACATACAGTTTCAAAAATAAAGGTTCTTCGAAAATATTTTTAGCTGAACGTAGGCGGGTTACTCAGATAAAATAGTGGAAAAATTACCTTGTTTTTCTCTTATGGCAAATTAAATCTTTCTGAAGTGAGGGATTGGAAAAGATGAATCCTTTCTGGTTTGACCAACAGGCAGCGGTTTGTAAGACACAGAGGCTGAGAAATTCTCTCTGCTCAGAGCTCTTTCCTTTGGAATTTGATAACATTAAAATAGATAAGAAAGTGGTTTATTAACCTCTGAGCTTCTAGGGGGTTCGCAAAGCTACACTAGTTTGCACAGTGATCCAATCTTTGACAATACCAGGGGCACAACGATTAACTCTGTCACTTACAGAACAGAGAGGACATTAACTGGTTCTGTAAAAAATCACAATAGTGAGGGTTAATGGCAAAAGCTATCAAAAAGCAAAAAAACAAGCTGGATTATCTGCTAAACTTTGAATGGCCTGAGTTGCAAAATTCCAATTTGACTGTAAGGTATATCCGGCCCCAGCTGGGCTAATCTAACATAGAGAAATTCTGTATCTGATAAAACACTAGATTGAGAGTTGGTCTGTTATATCTGATTTGGTAAATATGAAATGTTTCATGGTATCTGTGTTTTTTAACAGGTAAAGATCTATAGGTACACACCATTGTATTGTAGATTTACAAGCATGAGAGTGTGAGAGAGACATTTTACATACCTCCCAAGTGTCACTACTTAGGAAGGACAGTCCCTATTTTAGGCCAAAAGCCATCTGTCCCTTTTTGCTATCCTAATGTCCCTCTTTTCTAAGAGCTCCATATTGTTGGTGTGTCTGAGTGTATAACAGAGCTCCACAGCAATAATACTCCCAGTAATGTGTCTTTAAACTACAATAAATGTGTTTAGTAATCAGTCTGTGTAAATAAGATACATTGTTCTTGCTCTAAATTACATTTTAGTTGTATAAATAGTTATTAGTATAGCCCTACCCCTGGCCCCACCCCAACAATTAAAGTGTCGCTCTTTGTCCATTTGAAATGTTGGAAGGTATCCCTAATGTATTTGATGTGGTGAGAACATACATACCAGGCACTCCCTGGCACACTAATGTGAGTCAGGATAGCATTATATTCCATGGTTAATAGTCAGCCATGCTCCTGTACCTTAGGAAGGGGTGTCAATGCACTTGGATGCTGCTACCCTTCCATGGTATTTAAGAGGGAGTACATTTTATTTGAAAGGTCGTACATGCTATTAAGAGAGGAGAACGTAAGCACACAAAGGCTGCGTCATATTCACACGTATGGGGCATGGGGATAGAAGAGACTACTTTCTGGTTACCAGGGGTACAGAGGACCTTTGTAATTACCAATGTCCTACTTTACATGAGATGTGGAAGTGGGAACCCTATTACACAGGCTCACAGCAATAATGGTGGAAAGCTTACTAATAACGATTCACAGCACAGGATTGGGTTCAAATGTGTGAGAAACCATTCACCAACCCACTGAACCCATTGTTACCCCCACTCCCTGAAAGCAATGTGGGTATTTTATAATGATAAAAACTTTATAAAATAATTACATTAACTGCGTTGGAATTTCGCTGAAATTTCAATGCAATCAAATGACATTCATGCAAAGCAGGGGCTACTTGATCTCCATCATTTTCCCACCACTTAACAAACCTTGAAAAAAGATTGGCCTACAGTTATCAAGCTTTGACAGTTTCCCCAGGTGTAACTAATAAAGGTTGGGGGGGAAAGGCATTGTCTTGCTAAAAAATATTGAGGTAGGCTTCCACAGTCTCGCTGGATCCTCTATGTACAGGACGTAGGCTCCTAGCGGATGAAGTGCAAGAGATTGAAGTAAGAAGATGGCTTAAATTTTCTTGGCTCAATTCAGATGACACCAACTTTTCAGAATTTAATCAGTCTTTTAATCTCCTACTCCAGTTAATAGCACATAACACTACTACTAAATATATAAAACTAAGGTTAAACATGTTAAAGGAACATGTTATTTTGCTAGTAATGTTATCCCTTCATTGTTTTAGACACGCTGTGGAGAGATGTATAGAATGTAAAGACAATGTCAGTATGGACAATATCTGGGGAACTAAACATATTTATAGGAACATGACTGCTCTCAGGGATCTTGAATAATAGTTTAATGCATCTATTTTCCTTTTTATCTGTTTGATACATGGCGGCGCAATGGTGTGGGCATACAATTGAAATCTGTTTATAACTAAACCTGTGTATTTTGTTTCAAACAAATTATGATTTCTCTAAATTTTGGGAGATCAGCTATTCATCTGAATTCATAACTCCAAAGTGCCAGTGGATGAATTGCGAAACAGACAAAACAGGCAACAGAAGAAATGGGCAACAGAAGAGCCTTTTAGTTTGTTTCATGATTTAGAAAAATAGAAACATAGAAATAATTTAGAGTTTCATCCAAGGCACCAAAACTGTGACGGGACCGCTGCCAGTCCGTGAATTGCCTGTTTGATATTATGTGTGTTTCCCCATATTTTCGTATCTTCTGACCGCTCCCCGTTCGTGAGTAATCCATGAAGGGAATTAATTTGCTTCCCGAACGGGGACAACCCCGATACCCCATTTAGAATATTGGCTTAGAACCTTCACACCTCGCAACATATTGCATTCGTGTCCCAAAAAGGATACGCTCGCGGGCGGAGTCTGGTGGAGGAAGGTACCGCTGCGAGGGTCCCTAAGATTGGTGTGGGCACTTCTGGCGAGGCTTGCGGTGTCTGCTGGGACAAGGAGACCAGTTTTTTTCCCGTGGGCGGGCTCTCTGTGCCTGGGAGACAAAGGGACGGTCCCTTTTTACCGCGCTTGGTCTCCCAGGTACAGTGGCTCATGGGAGGAAGACCCTACTGTCCCCAGATGTGGGAAACCCTGTGTTTGGGTGGCAGGCTTTTGGAAACAAAGGGACATAGCCCTATCCTGTTTTAGGATCCCGGGGAAGGGGAAGATCCTGGGTGGGGACATTGTATGCTGTGTGTTACACCCCCTGCATGTTGTACCTCCAGAATTGTATGTTGTCCAGTTACTGGGGGGGTGGGAGGGTCTCTTTATATTCTAAATTGTTCCTGTTCAGCTGAAGGAAGGGAATTAGTGGAGGTAACCGGAGGTAATCCGCTACGAAAACCAAAGATAATTAAGAAAATATCATTGATGATTTGGGGACAACCACTAAATGTTGACTTTTGAAAACCGTCAAACAAATGGCATAAACATGGTGTAAAAATGATCTGCAAAATATACAAATTATATACATTTGCAGTACACTAATAGGCACAATCTCACATAATTTTATATAGAAATAATATATTTATGTAAATATACTTTTTGCAGTACATTAATAGGCCTATTTTTGCATCGTTTTATATAAAAATAATGTATATTTTGCAGTACACTAATTGGCACATTTTCACTCCATTTTTGTTTGTCTGAGTTACAATAGCCAGGCTGAAATTCGCCAGAACCAAATGCCTCATGGCCAAAATTCAGTCCGTACGAACCTAATTTTTTTTTCAGATGAATCGTTTCAGACGAACCAAATTTAGGAATTTAGTGACATGATCCTCACTTTGTTTCCTTTGTTCCTTGTCCCAGAATGCTATGCATCGAGGACATACTGCCAAGGATTGTGACTCAGGTGTATGGAATTCCCAGGTGTCTATCTTGGAATTCTGTGTGTTCCAAGCCAACGTATGCACAACGTACAAATAGTGCATAAATTCATTTATTGGAGTATTAGAACGGTACAGAGTTGCTTTAACAACACAAATGGGAGTACAATATATATTTTTAAAAGCACTGAATTAGGAAATTAGTACACTCAGATATGTCTGCATTATCACTGACAATAATGGGAGAACTAAGACTGACTGTGAGGTCCAGTCACCTTCATGTTTGGTGACAGTTCACTACAGAAACTGGAAATTTTTATAATTTACCAATCAGAGTAGAAACTTGATTGTTTATTATAGTTTTTTGTCTATCTATCTACTAAACTGCTGCTTCAAGGCAGCCTAGCAAATCCCTATTAGCACAAACGGGTATAGAGCTATGTAGCCGACCCTGATGTACAGACTCTCTGGGAGGCTATATGACTCGTTTGGCAATATAAACTATAGGGGAAATCCAATAGTGATATATCCCCTAGTATAGAGAAATAGAAAATTTAATTTAATTTAATTTAATTTTCTAATTCCTCACCTTTATGTGATTTTCACTAACACAACTTTCTATGGTGTTTCTATCCACGGTAAGCTTTATACCGATTATATATATTTTCTTTGCTTAATTTTAGTTCAATAAAGGTTATTACCATTTTCTTTGTTACGTTTACTTTAGGAGGTAATCTTCAAGAGTGAGATTGAATCCCACTCACTTTTGAGTGAGTGGTTTTTTCTATCACACTCTTTCAGTTGGTAATAAATATCTGGATTAGTGTCTAGGAGTTTAAAAATACATAATTTTCTTTTATTAATTTGTATAGCCTAAAACGGGACTTTTACAAATATTATTATTTTTTTCTTAAATATTATGCTTATTAGATGCAAATATTGTACATAACTAAGTCAACATTTTATAATAGTGTGAACTTTGGAAAAAGTCAAGAAGTAAAAACAGGAAAGACGTAACAAAAGCAGGAAAAGTAATCTTTCTTTTTTTCCCTTTTTTTTTGCCTCTTTCTCTATACGGTTTTAAAGGAAGAGTAAACCAGGAAGGAAGGAAAAGATTCGTCATTACACGCTTCTGACTTTGTGACCTCTCACCCTAATAGGAAAGAGATTAACATGTATTTGAAACAACAAATTTTAGACTTCTCTTTTACAAATATACAATATTGAATTAATAACAATGGGAAAAACTGACCACCACATGCACAGACAAGTGTCATCTGCTCACAGAATCTTTCTTGACAAGGAAGAGACCCCTTCTACCAGGAGCCTTTCTATCTAGTCTCCACCCAGGAGGAGTTTATGGGATAATTTGTTCAGTTTATTCATCACACAGGATGATTAGACTACTCAATAAACTAAGCTGATCTGCATAGCAATCTGCAAAGGGAGGAGAGAAACATCCTTCCATCATACGCATAAACTGGACAGATCTCAAGCAGCTAACAAAGACTTTGA